GGAGGATCATCGGGGATTTTTCTGTTTATTGGCTGCACAGGCATTTTCCCAGGGCAGCAGCAGCCTCAACCACAGAGTCCAGGTGCAAATCGTCTCTCTCACTGTTTTCAATTAACAATGCTGACAAGCTGGTACGGATCTCCCTGATCCTCCTCAGACCTATGATTAAAAAGCAACATTATAAAAGAGTGTGCTTCATGCCCTTGGCTGGGGCTCAATGCCGTGCAGGGACGTTAGCAAAAACAGCTCAGGCTAATTTCAGGCCTGCTGGAGTAAATCCTCTCAAAACAGTTGCTTCTGCAGTTGTTGCAAAGTGAAATGGCAAAAGTAAAAGGCTGTGTTCAGAACATCGGACATGATAGTGGGGTAAAGGCATTTTATTTTGTAGATTATTGACAACCCCGCCCCTGTAAGACAATCCAGCGAATAGGCTGAAAACTCACTAGAAGTAAAACTCTCAGTCCAATCCCATTAGAAACGATACAGTACTGTAGGAAGCTGTGCTTTAGTGTACTGAATGACATATGGAAGAGAACTGTTAATGTATATAGTTTCTTGGGGAAAGTGTTATGGATACAAAAGTATCTTTTTAGTTAATTTTAGATTTACTTACTTATTTTGATTTTTTTATTGTGTGTGTGTTTGTGTGTATTTGTAAAACAGAGTCTCATGTAGCTCGGGACAGCCCCAAACTCACTAGGCAGTGTTGACAATAACCTTAAATTTCTGATCCTCCTGCTTCCACTTCCTAAATGCTGGGATTACATGTGTGCACCACCATGCCCACTATGAGGATCTCTTTAGAGTTCTAGAAAAAAAATATGTGAGTAGTACAAGGAGCTAGGCATTACATCTTGCTGTTGCAAAATGAGGGGAGTGTCCTGTTTTCACAAAACAGAAATCAAAGTGGAAATTTCATTGTGTAGTACTTGTAAGTAATTTGTTACACAACTAAGTGTGGAAGGGTGAGCCAGAGAGGTGGCTTAGCAGTTAAGTGTATGTGCTGCTCTTGCTAAGGAGCTCAGCTTGGTTCCCAGCACCCACCTCACAAGCACCTGTGACTCCATCTCCAGAATACCCTTGATACCCTCATCCAGCGGCAACCGCTTCCACTCACACATACCCCATCCGCGTACACTTACTTAAAACACCTCAAAGAAGGAATTAATAAATAAATAAAGTGTATAATTCAATGTGTAACTTCATTAAACATAGTTATACAGTAGAAGGCCAAGTTTTTGCAACTGTTGGTGTGTGATGACTGTAGTATTTATCGTATGTATTTCATACCAAGTGCCAAAAACAGACTGGAAATATTAGCCTGTGAAGTTTGTGTGTGGTGACGGGGAGGTGATGTCAGAGAGTGTTTTTAAAGATCTCAGAACAGGGGTTGGGGGATTGCTCAGTTGGTAAAGTGCTTGTGGTACAAGCGTGAAGAGTCAAGTTCGAGCCTCAGCACTCACTTCAAGAGCCAGGTATGGTGGCCCATGCTGGAAATCTCAGCACCAGGGAGACAGAGGCAGGAGGATCCTTAGAGTTTACTGACCAGCCAGCCTGCCTTAACCAGCCATCCCCAGGGCCTAAAGAGAGCCTGTTTCAAAATGCAATGTGGACTGCACCTGAGGAATGACATCCACGCTGACCTCTGGTCACCCACACATCTGAACACACACAAACATTTCTGAAATCATCACGATTAACTGGTGAAGCAAACACTAAAGCAGATAAGAGAATTCATGGGGAGAAGGATCCGCGTCTAGTCCACACAGCTTTGGATGCATGAGAGAGGGAGTAATTGAGATACTCTCTTTACCATGATATACAACACTAGGGATGTGAAAATATCTAGACATCAGAGTTCATAGGGGCACCAACATGGTGCTTAGAAGAACCTTCAGTCGGCAGAAACCATGCTGGAAGTACATGTGTCTGGCAATGAAGAGGGACAAAACTGAGATGACAGATGTGGGAGACTCCATTCAGCACATGAAAAAACAGCAGAAGCTCCGGTCTGACTTTTGTAGTTTGTCGAGAACTGAACCCTGTAATTCATTGAAAAGTCTCACTTGATGGTAGTAGGAAGCTCCATTTAGCGTCCAGAACAAAACACCAAAAATAGCAGTCTTTTTTTTTTTTCCGTCTGTAGTCCTAGAAGAGATTGTATATACACCAGTAGCAGCACCACACACAGACACACACACACACAGACACACACACACACACACACACACACACAGAGAGAGAGAGAGAGAGAGAGAGAGAGAGAGAGAGATTGATTCTTTTCTACTTGCTAGAATCATTTGGGAAACAAAATTTCTTCTTGTAGTTTCAGGCAAACAAGACAAGTACCACAGAAAATTTCAAGAGATAAAAAGTAGCTACAACAGAACATCAAACATTGTTATCAAGGTTTGTTTTCTGCCACCTGGCAGCTCACCAAGTAGTCAGCCAGTCCCAAGAATCTAGAAACAGGCATGTCTCTGACTACGATATATAATCAAGCAAGGGGAATTCCCTACTCACATCATCTGCATTCCTTCAGTTTTTCGAAACAGGGTTTCTCTTTGTAGTCTTGGCTGTCCTGTTGCTAGCTCTGTAGACCAGAGATCTGCCTGCCTCTGGCTCCCTCAGTGCTGGGACTAAGGGCCTATGATACCACACCTGGCTGTGGGTTAGCTAGTTTTATGTTAGCTTGGTGAAAGCTAGAGTTACTTGGGAAGAAGGAACCTCAACTGAGAAAATGCCTCCACCAGATTTAGCCTAAGGGCAAGGTTGTGGGGCATTTTCTTGATTGATGATTGATGTGAGAGGGTCCACCTCACTGAGAGTAGTGACATCCCTGGGAAAGTAATCTTGAGTGCTTTAAGAAAGCATGCTCAACAAGCTACAGGGAGCAAGCCATTAAAAAGTGAAGGGCCTACAATGGCCTCTGCTTCAGTTCCTGTCTCCTGGTTCCTGCCTTGAGTTCGTGCCCTGACTTCCTGAATGATGATAAGACAAACCCTTTCCCCCATAAGTTGTCTTTGGTTATGGTATTTTGTCATAGCAATAGAGAGTTAACTAAGGCACATAGGGTAGACCTTGGTGTCACACAGGCTGAAACCATGAAGAAGCACCCTAAGAGATTTGCTCCAAGAAACACCTGTTCATTAAATGACAGTTGAGATAATGCTTTAAAGTGACACCTCATCCCATTTTGGACAGCCAGCAGTGTGTTCTGTGTTCTTCAGGCTATCCGGAAATGAAGAGAACTGGTGTTTAGGCCTGGAGAGAGGATGAAGAAAAGAGGACAAGGATACGTAAGGATGGCACAATAAATATTGCACTGGCTGACACTTTACAACAAAATGCCACAAACTCTGCAGACTGATGTGTGTACTGAGTCACACAGTACATGCCATGACAGGTTGTACAGGCAAAAATTTCTCTAGAATAGTTCAAGGAAAGGAGAGAAAAATGATAATTTATAGATAGGTCTATTTCCTTCCTGCCTTTTTCCTTTTGACTGTTAGGTCATCCCCAAAAAAACTCATGACAAAAGGCTGAGGTGTGTATTAACCTATCAAAGCGAGTCCAGGACAGCTACACAGTGAAATCTGTCTGAGGAGAGAGAGAGAGAGAGAGAGAGAGAGAGAGAGAGAGAACATATGAAAATGAACAGAACACTGCCTCCCAGGCTCTCCCAGCACAAGTACTTATTATGGAGTCCCAGCTCCTCTCAGCACTTCTCACCCCTGCCCCCTACCCTAAACCTTTCTAGCTCCTGAGTTTAGCTTCTCTTCCCTCAGCTTCTTTTTTTCCTATATAACCCAGCCATTTTGGCAAAGTGCTCTCTCGGTCCTCAGCTTCTCTCTTGGTCCTCTTGTCTCTCTTGTTTTGATTGCTGTTTTCTCTTCTCTTTCTCTCTTGCTCCCCGACTCCCCACCCCTCTGCTGTCCATGTTTAGTCAAGCCTCCTCCAGATGCCTCTGGCTGTTCTAGCTCATATCCACAATAAAAACCTTCTCCTCAACCATACTTAGGTGCGATCATGTCCTCATCTTCACTTGCTGACTAGGCTGCTCCCTACCATTTTGGGTTTCAAAGTATGGCCTCTTCAGAAGCCAGTTCTCATATTCCCCATGCGATACTTTTCATCCAGCTCTGGCAGTGGTAGAAGATATCACACTCTCCGCGAGTATGACAATGGTCTGGTTGCACAGAGCGTCCGAGCATCGTGGAGAGTGGAGTACCCTTCTATCCAAGTGACTACTTGTGGGGTTGATGGGGTTCATAGACTGAGGTGGGACAAGAGGTAAAGAGGGTGGGGCATGGAAGTAATGATTCTCTGAGAGGCAACTTAAAGTGCGCTCTTCTATTGGTTCTTCCAGAAAGCCCTGTTGGAGATAAAAGGAACATTGTAGGATAGGAAGGAAGGAATTAAAGGATTGCTAAATTGAGTGTTTTTGAATACCGATGCAAGCGTATTTCAACTCAACTGGCATTCCACTCACCAAGTTCTAAGAGAAGCTCCTTCCACTAGGAGTGCAGCCTCAAGCTCTGAAGGATGACATTCCAAGTAAAAGAATAAGAATGAAGTAAAATATCAAGGTGTGTGTCACAATAGACAGCTATAGTGAAGGCATCAATATCAGCTAACTGCGTTTCTGGGCAAAGATGTGGACTAGAACTTTATTCTTTAGGCAATGAATGGTCCCACCATTTTTTTATTTCCCCCCAAACTCTTGGGTGGGGGCGTGTGAGTTCCTGGTAGAGTGCTTTCCTAGCATTCCTGAGAAAATGGGAGCGGCCTCCCTTGCGCTCCCATTCCTCAGTAGGGAGGCACACATCTCTGCCTGAGGTGAGAAGGAAACGCAACCAGCTAGAACAATTACCTAACTTAACTCAATTGAAAACGTACTTGAGGATCTCAGAGATTCGGTCAGGAAGGGAGGTGACGTCAGCGGCTGCTTTGGTGGTAGGCGCTTTTGCAGGCAGCCTTTCCTACTGCGCAGGCGCCACGTCCTCGCTGAGGCCGCGCGTCCCGGAGGCGCCCGGCCTCGGCGCGAGGCAGGCCGGGAAATCCAAGATGGACCCTTCCATTTGAGTTCTTCGCATGCCTTCGCGTCTGTGGTAACCCGCCGCGGCCCGTTCTTGCCCCTGCTTCTGGGAGGGAAAGGGGATGAAAAGCTGTGGCGGCCGACGAGCCCTCGTGACCGTCCTGCCGCCGCTCTCGGGCCTCCGAGGCCCCTGCGCCTGCTGGGAGCAGCCGGGGCTTACAAGCGCCTGACGCGTCCCGAGTCACTCAGGTGCGGGCTGGGCCGAGTAGCGCATCGCTGCGACTTGGTGTCGGGATTTTGTTGCCCTGGGTGACCCGAGGGCTGAGCGCCTCGGGGCAGACCTTGCGTCCTTGCTGGGGTGAGGGGACCCTAGTGTCAGGCCGGCTTTCCGGGCTGTGCCCGGTGCGCTTGGGTCAGATGCGCGGGCCGTTACGTCTCAGCTCTAAAGCACGGGAAGCCAATTTTTGTAGAGACACAACTCTGGGTACCGCAGTTTGCATATGTTCCTAGTAACCATTAATGGCACTTTTATTTGTTGCGTGTCAACTCAATACTTTTTTGTGCCCTGTGCCTAATAACACACTTAACTTGGGGAGAACTGTGAAAGTATTAAGCATGGTGCTTTGGGGCCATAACACATCGAACTGTGAATATGCTGTGATTGATAATCCTCTAGGCTTGTTTTAAGTTGTAAGAGAATGACATTACATGATTGCACAAGGAAAAGTCGGATAAAGTCGCAAGTTCTTTAATGTCGGGCTATTTTATTGAATTTGAATTTATAGAATTTATAGAATTTGAAAAGACTAGCCACATTTTGGAATTCTTCCGTACTTTTTATAAGGCATTTGTAGTTTTGTTTCAGGTTGAACTGTTCTCAATATTGGTTATATCTAGAAGGTGAAAATTGCACCTGGTTTTGAGTATAATCATCTCAGGGATGACATCTAATTCACACCAAGAAAGACTTTGTAACTTGTAGAAGGCTTCTTAAAAACTAGAGGCTTTGAGGTGATTATTAAAAAAAAAAAAAAAAAAAAAAGGCTGATGTCAAGAAGACTTCAGATGAGAGTTTCCAGTCAAATTTAATTAGACAATCTTGAGTGCCATTTCAGACACTAACAGTTGACATTTCAGACACTAACACTGACATTAAATGCTATTGTAGACGTTTTCTCAGAGACAGAATCTGCACATATTATGCCACAGAATGCCGGAAGGTTAGCCATCCTTCCTTACTGTGTGTAGAAATGTTTGTGAGGTGGATTGGCATATTTCCTCCATGGTTCCATCCAGGTCTTTGTAGTAATAAACTAGTTGTGACTAGAAGGCTGACAAGAATGTGTTTGGATTCACACAGAAATAATGTTGATATTTGGAACCCATGTCGAACTTCTTTGAAGAAAGGGCAACGATGATTGCAGCCGGGGATTTGCAGGAATTCGTTCCTTTTGGTCGTGACCACTGCAAGCACCACCCTAATGCTTTGAACCTTCAGCTTCGTCAGCTGCAGCCAGCCTCAGAACTGTGGTCTTCGGATGGTGCAGCTGGCTTGGTGGGATCTCTTCAGGAGGTTACAATCCACGAGAAACAGAAGGTTTTTATTTAGATTTTCACCACATTTTTGAAATTTAGAATGAATAATGTACTTGTCATTTAAAGCTACCTAGATGCATAGATGCATGCGAGAAATAAGTTTATGTTGGCACTTGGTTAAAAGCTAATGTTTCATAGTTTCAGTCAGTGCTGAAATATGGTGCTGCCTACTTAGGCATGTTATATGATTTGTAATGAGTGTTCAGTACTTCAGTCATTGCTCATTTTAAACTCTATCTTTACTTTGTATGTGGATAATCAGATTCCATACTCTTTGATGACTAAGTGCTAGAGATTAGAAATGGTACCTGCAACTCATGTTTCTAGAAGAGGGTTGATGTCACATAGTAGTGTTACACTAGTAGTACGTTTTCTTTTTAATGAGTTGGGGCCGTATTAAGTAGCCCAGACTGACGCTGAACTTTTGGTCCTCTGTCTCAGTCTTCTGAGTACTGGAATTAGATGTGTGTGCCACAATGCCTGGCAAAGTAGTGGTTCTTAGTTATGGAGATGAGTTATAAAGTATGTCAGGAAACAACCACACCAGAACAGAATAGTTCCTGTGTGTAGTCTCTGTCCTGTCCCCTATCCTAGCTCCTTATTTTTTTGGGGGGGAGGGTAAGTGTTGGGGCCAACCCACACTTGGCCTTGATAGGCAAACACTCTTATCACTGAACTGACCTCTCCTTCCTTGCCTTACATAATCTTCATATGCCTTTGAATTCAAATCTCTTGGACTGTAGATAGTTAGATATCAGAAACTTTCTATCTTCTATTCCTCTTATGGGTGGGACAAGGGAAAGGAGATGAATGTGTTTGCAGCTGTGAAGCAGGGAAGTCTACACTGCACAAGGCCTTCATTCAGTCCCTTGTGTTCCTCACTGTCTCTCTTCTACATTTCACATACATTTAATATATACATTTTTGTTTTCCTTCAAGCATGGGTTTTATTTTATGATCTATATGTAAGATAACTTTTTATTTGCTCATGTTCTTGACAGAGTAATACTGGGGATATAGACGTATAAAATAAAACACTTCCTATAGAGAATTTTTGCATCAGTTAAAAAAAAAACAACTGTATGTTTTCCTGCTTATATGTCTGTGCACTATGTGGGTGCAGTGTCCATAGAGGCCAGAAGAGGGCATCAGATCTCTTGGAACTGGCGTGACAGACAGTTGTGAGCTGCCATGTGGGTGCTGAGAATCAAACCTGGATCCTCTGGAAGAACAGCCAGTACTCTTAACTGCTGAGCCATCTCTCCCACCCATCTTAAGTTATCTTAAGAATCCTCTGAAATAATGTGCCCACTTTGCTAATTCACCTACCCTGCTCACAGAATCCATTTAGGAGTTAGTCGGGCTGAATCCTAATTCACAGGCAAATCTTGTTGCAGACTGTTGAAAAAGAAGGAGGAATTGCTTGAGAGTGTCCTGTGTATTATTTTTAAGGAAAGCTGGCAGTTAAGAAAAGGTGTGAGTGAGATTGGCGACACAGCTGACTACGATGAAGAGCTCTATGTGGCCGGGAACATGGTTATCTGGAGCAAAGGGAGTAAAAGCCAGGCGCTGGCGGTCTACAAAGCCTTCACAGTGGATAGCACCGTCCAGCAGGTGAGCTCATGGAGTTTGTGCAGTCGATCACCGGTTTAGTACAGCTGTTTGGGAAAGAAGCTTATGTTTTAAAATTATAACAGATTTTTGGTGTACATTATGACATGTAGTGAGGCTACTGGCAGAAAAACAGATCTTTATTTTATCCATCAGGACAGGGTCTCCGTAGCCCAGGCTGGCCTGGCACTTGAGATCCTCTTGCCCTAGCCTCCTGTGTGTTGGGATGACAGGCATGCCCCACCATGCCTGGCCTGTCACAGTCTTTACACTATTCTTTGTCAGTGATACAACCTTTTTTACTCTCTTTACTTATTTTGTTTTTTTAAAGACAGGTCTCTTCCTAGCCCTGTCTGTTCTGAAACTTACTGTGTAGTCTAGGCTGGCCTTGAACTCACAGAGATCCCATTGCAAATGTCTCTTGAGTGCTGGGATTAAACGCATTCGCCACCACACCTGGCACAATCTCGTATTTTTTATAGCTATTATTTTTGTAGTACTGAGGATTGAATTTAGGCCCTTTTATATGCTAGACAAGCACTTTTACACACACACGGCACTGCAAATCATAGTGTTTAACACTAGATGTGGGACTTGGAGTTCGTTATTGTCAACAAAAAATGGTGTGATGTTAAAAACACAAAAATATTTTAAAATACATGATTTCTATAATTCATTTCCAGTTACTGAATACATAAACATTATTGGATTCGTAGTAAAAGGAAATTCAGCCTGATTTTCTGCTATTGTAGTAGTTATGAGAACCAGTTTCTAAAAATTGGTAGGAAAACCCTTAACTTATTGAATGTAACCCATAAATGTAAATGAAATGGTGAAGCAGAAATCATTTTGTAGCTTCCAGTGTGCTAATCAGTTCAGGCATAGTTGTAATTTATTAACACCGTTGCACAAAAGGATACTACATGGCAGTAAGGTATTACTTCCTACATGTAAAGAGACCAATGCTTCTTTTCTTTGAAGTTGTCTCCAGCTCAGCCAAGTGATTGATTTCAGCTTAACTCACAGTGGGGTAAAGGATTTTATATACCTCCAGCTAGCTAATACAGGGGGAAATGTGATGTCTGCTAAATTTTCTTTTGAGAAATATTTAACGGTAATATTTAGATCTAGCTTTCAGTTTGTAGTAAACGTGAGACCTAGGGGTTCAACTTACAAAGTAGCATGATATGAGGAATGGTTGGAGATTACTAGTGATGGCTGTGGCCAGAAAGATGGCTAGGCTGATAAAGGCAATTTCTGCTAAGTCTGACAATCTGAGTTGACCCGTAGGACCATAGGACCCGTAAAGAGAAAGAACTGATTCCTGCAAGTTGTTTGCTGACTGTCGTAGGTATGCTGTGGCACACACAAAATAAATAATAAATGTAACAATAATAAAAAAAAAGAGGCCCATTGTGGTGGTGCATGCCTTTAATCCCAGCACTCAGGAGTCATGAAGATCTCTGTGCATTTGAGGCCAGCCTGGCCATAGCCAGTAACAGGATAGCCAGGGCTCTATAGAGACCTTGTTTTTTTTAAAAAAAAAAATTCAATTGAAAAAAAAAAAAAAAAAAAAAAAGGCCAGTTGGGCAGTGGTGGCATATTGCTTTTACTCCCAGGACTGGGCAGGCAGAGGCAGGAACTCACTGTCTTGAGTTCGTGGCCAGCCTGGTTGGTCTACAGAGTGAGTTCCAGGACAGCCACTGTGTTCCTGTGTAAAGACATCTGTATTGAGCTGAGGAAATGTATTATGTAAGTATCATTGTTACTGGTGTCCTTAGCTGGTGACAGTTGATTATTTAGATATTTTCTTAGACAAGCATTTTGTTTTGATTTTAGGCATTGTGGTGTGACTTCATTACATCACAGGATAAGTCGGAAAAGACCCACAGTAAGTTTCTTTATGAAATTTTATTTTTCATGATTCCCAAGCATTTATCTTTCGGTGATAACATTCATAAGCAACCCTTAAGTCACAGTGGCTTAACCTAAATGTTTTGCATAATGCATTGACTTTTGCTGTTTGGATCGAACTGTTTAGCAGGAAAATAAACAATACATATATCTTGTACCCTTTTCTTTCAGAGAGCCATGAAGTAGAGAAATGCATATGTATTTTACAGAGCTCATGTATGAACATGCACAGCATAGATGGGAAGGATTATATAGCTTCCTTGCCATTTCAGGTAAACTTCTTGTTTTAAGTTTTTGGTATGTGTTTTGTTAGAGATCATGTATAACAGATTTTTATGTAGGTTTCTTTTGTGTCAAGGGTGTTAGTTTTTTTACTTAACTGAATCTCAGTGGGTTTAGTTCACCGTTTGTCTCTCCTTTCTACAACAATAGTTTTTTAGTGAAGTAAATTATGAACTATGAGATGGTTGTCAGTTTAATGATATTTAGTAATATTTAATAAAGCATTTTGGCTCTATTATATTAGGCATATGAATAATATTGGTGTTTTTTGCATTGTATCTTTTTTTTCTATTTTTTAAAAGCTTAGTATTTATTATTTATACATTATTCTGCCTGTAGGCCAGAAGAGGGCACCAGATATCATCATAGATGGCTATGAGCCACTGTGTGGTTGTTGGGAACTGAACTCAGGACCTTTGGAAGAACAACCAGTGCTCTTAACCTCTGAGCCATCTCTCCAACCCCCGCATTGCATCATCTTTTAATGCTCAGTGCTCTTACACTCTCCTGTTGATGATATTGACAGCAATTTCCCGATGAGCACCTCTTCCATAGGTTTGATTTTTGTTTTAGTGTTGCTTATTAAAAGTCGTAGATTTTGATATTATTTGGAAAGCTCCCAGTAAATTCAAAGAAAATAGAATGTTCTGTCATGTTTCCTGAAACCTTTTCATAAACAATAGTTCTCTTGCTTCTGTCTCTCTACTCTCTCATTGACAGGTGGCAAATGTTTGGGCCACTAAATATGGTTTGCTCTTTGAACGAAGCAGCTCTTCACAGGAGGTGCCTCCAAGCCTGCCTAGGTATTCATCTCATTCTGTTCAGAATGTTATTTCTTAGGCTTTTCTAATGTTGATTCTGAAGTAAACTTGTTAACCTAAGTGGTTGGAGTGCAGAAGATGTCTGTGTTCACAGCGTAAGTATTGCACGTTTTCATGCCGGTTTGAGCTAGCCTGTGACTGTCACTCAGGCCTTCCTTGTCTCACACTCTCCTTAGTAACCCTGACTAACAGTAGCGCAATAATGACAGGACTCAGTTCTTAGCTCTGCCATGTCTTCATTGTAATGCTTTGGATAGGTCATTATCACTCTCCTAGTTTTCATTTCCTAATTTGTTGCAGGGATGTTCTTAGTCACCTTTTGGGATTTATGCAGACTGTCACAGAGGGCCCAGTGTCTATTAAGTGCACAGTTAATGGTGGCTGCCTTTTGACCGTGTGGTTACCGTGCTTTCCCATAAACTGTGAGCTCACTGAAAGGAGGAATGTGCACAGCAGACATAATGTGTGCAAAAGCAGATGCTTGCTGTATCAGAGCTGTTTGCAGATTTTAATCTCTGCGATGATAGAAAGCCAGCCCCTTTCCTCCTCTTTAACTTTTTGGAAATTACAAACTTAATTACTTGAAGTATTTTTCTCTTTTTAAAAATGTACCCATTTATGAAAAAACATTTCTTAGATACCACAGAGACACACTGCCATTAGGCCATTAGGAGAGATAAGTGAACAACCGCCTTGTGAGTTCCGTCATGTCATGGCTGCTGTTTGCAGGGTTTCATCTGGTCATAGCTTCCTTTTATGTGTATATATAGAATTATTACAACAAGATATTTTTAGAACTAAAACAGGATGCCATGGCAGACAGCAATGAAGAGTTTAGAACGTTACTTTTTGAGATGGTAGCTGTGACAGAATGCTTGACAAGCACCTTGAGGGAGGAAGGACTTATTTTGCTTCACATTTTCAGCGCTTTGTTTAGGGAAGGCATGTAGGCAAACTTTATTCTCTATTATATTTGGGGTTCCCTATGCCTCTACCTCCCTTCCAACCCTAGGGAGGAGAGAAAAAAGGTTAGAAGGGAAAGGGGACATAGACCTTTTTAGACTTTGTTCCTTGGGGCAGTTTCAATCTTTGTAGTCAGAATATCCAGTCGTCTAGCTAACTAGCAAACCAGCAAATGCAGCAGCAGGACGAACCAACAGCAGACTTTGATCCTCTTCTGTTCTCTCTTGATTCTGGTATTTTTATCCTCTCAGAGTCCTCAGAGTTAAACTATCTTCAACTGGCAAAGACCATGCCCCTCTCAGCCGCACAAGGTTTTTATCAGTTCTTATCAACTAAAAGTGGCTCCATATCCCACATTTGGGATTAAAACAAAAGCCTGTTTAGATAACGTAACTGAGTTTTTAAAGATGCCAAAGCTTCCACTATAAAGGCATGGCAGAGCTGGTGTTGGAAGGGCTGTGTGGCAGAGGCTCTGCGTGTCTTGGCAGATCAGGACGTGAAATGAGGAATTGGAAACAGGGCTGGCCAGTAACTCTCAGAGGCTCCGTAGCCTCCTAAAACAGTGCCACAGTTGTGGACCAAGTGTTCAAACTTGAGCCTGTGAGGGCATTTTATGTTCAAGTGGTAGCACTAGATTTCTTTTGTCTGTTAGTGCCGAGGTGCACATAATTATCTTGTCAGTGATTGATTGTGAATTTATTTATTGCTAGAGAACCTTTGCCTACTATGTTCAGCATGCTGCACCCGCTAGATGAAATAACTCCACTTGTTTGTAAATCTGGAAGTAAGTATACTTTTATGTTCTTTTACATAAGCTCTGTTTTGACATTGGGGGAGGGAGGAAATAAAAATGAAGTTTATTTTAAAAGTGACTTGTTTTATCAGAAGATAATTTAAGCAAGTTATGAAAGAAACCTTTATCACAAAAATAACTCATTGAAGGCAGGGACAACAGTTATCAGTAAAACTAAGGCATATAAATCAGTGAGGGACACTGCCATCTGTTAACTTGCCTGTAGGTGACTGTTCTTTAAAAATAAGAAAATGAGTGATACTTGGATAACTAAAGTCTTTTTCTTTCTTTTATTTATTGATTGATTGATTGAAAAATTACAGGTCCTGATTGCTGGGACCTTTTAGTATTTCCCTTTCTGTGTGTGTTTGTTTGTTTGCTTATCTATCTATCTATCTATCTATCTATCTATCTATCTATCTATCTATCTATCTATCTATAGAAAAATTACAGGTCCTGATTGCTGGGACTTTTTAGTATTTCCCTTTCTGTGTTTAAGTTTACTGGGGCTCCACACTTTGAGTATTTCTGAACAGTTTCTGTATGCTTGGCTTTAAATTTAGGCTGACTGAACATGAATAGGTACCTACAGATATAGACTGAAGACTAGAAGGACGTTTACAGCCTTGCACATTTCAAAAGCCACTGAGACGTTATCTTCTGCCTCATGAGTGCAGTAGCCATGGGTGTTATTGTAAATCATACCAGCTGTCTTTTTAGGTTGTAGGAAAAAAAAAAGATTGTTGATCTTTTGGATGTTGTGAGTAACGTGCAAAACTGAGTACAATTCTAATTTGATAAAAGTTGGGTGTGGTGGTGTGTATGTGCAGGTCCAGCTACTGCTGCAGCTGAGGTAGGGTGATTGCTTGAGACTACACAGGGACGATTCTGTCTCTCTCTTTCAAAAGATTTTATTATTTTTAGTTAAGTATAGTATGTGTACCTACTTGTGGGCATGAACGTGAGTTCAGATGCCCACAAAGGCCAGGAGATAGAATGGGATCCTTGGAGCTGGTGCTTTTGAGCTGCTGTGACAATGGTGCTAGAAACTGAGCTTGGGTCCTCTGCAAGAGCAGCAAGCACTATTAATGGCTGAGCCGTCTCCGGCCCTGTTCGTCCCTCTCTGCTTTAGATCCTGAATTGGTTTTATTATTTTTTATGTTTTGGAGACAGGATCCCAGAGCCTAGCTAGCCTGGAACTCTTTATGTAGGCCAAGCTGGCCTCAAATTCACAGAGATCTGCCTGCCACTGCCTCCCAAATGATGGGATGAAAGGCGTGTGTCATCCAGCCTGAATAGTTTTATTCATTCTTTATAAAAAAATTTCTGAGCCAGGTAGTGGTAGCGCATGCTTTTAATCCCAGCACTTGGGAGGCAGAGGCAGGCGAATCTCTGTGAGTTTGAGGACAGTTTGGTCTACATAGCAAGTTCCAGGACATCCAGAGCTACACACAGAAAAACCCTGTCTCAAAAAACTGAAAAAAAAAAATTTATTTCTCAAAATACCATTTTTTTCTTTTCTCATATTTTAACTAAGAAAGAAATTATCAAGGATGTGGAAACTGGTTTGTGGTGCTATAGAAAAATACCTGGACTCAGTAGGAAAAACTTCATTTGTAATAAGTAAACATATTGTTTACTACCTCTGGTTAACTAGTACAGAGGACAGGATGGAACCAGTGAGCAAGTCAGACCTTTTCAATAGGTGATTGTACTCTCTAAAGAGGTTGATTGTAGCTAGATGCAGTGGATGTGCCTTTAACCCCAGTACTTGGGAGGCAGAGACAGGCAGATCTCTGTGAGTTTGAGGCCCGCCTGGTGTACATAGTGAGTTTCAGGCAGGGCAGCAGAGCTACATGAAACCCTGTCTCAGAAAAACTAAAACCAACCAAGCAAACAAACAAACAAACAAACAAAACAAATCAAAACAAAACAAAACAACAACCATTCAAACAAAACCCAAAAAAGATGAAGAAGAGGTTGATTGTTGAAGGATGCAGGAGTCTTGGACACTTTGCCTTTGGCAGATGAATTTAATGGTGAATCAGGACGTATCTTCAACATATGAGTTGTATGTATGTCAAAGTGCAACAGTCATTAATGTCTTGTTTAATGCATTTTAAGGAAGTTGACACTCAGTAAATTTAAAATTTGTTGTCAGATAGCACTGAATGGGTTTGTGCTTTAATTGCCTTGGTTCTCTTTCCTTTTAGGAACGATGAGAACTTTCTTCCTAAAGAACTCTTTTAAAAGAATAAAGCTACTATTCTGTACCTGGTCATTTCCATTTTGATTTTCAGGTCTTTTTGGCTCATCACGGGTACAATATGTCGTAGATCCTGCCGTGAAAATTGTGTTTCTCAACATTGACCCCTCCATTGTAATGACCTACGATGCTGTTCAGGGTGTGCATTCTGTGTGGACTCTCCGGAGGGTGAAGCCAGAGGTGAGGCTGACTGCACCTGCTTCTTCCTGGAATAGCTAGTCAACCCTGAACACTTGCACATTTTTGAGGTCAATTGCATTTCCTTGGTAAAGAACACGTCCTGTGTCTTTAATAACTGCCGTCTATCATTCATTTTCAAGGAAATTGCCTTTTTATTCTAATTGTTTTCTTGTTTTTCCCATTCATTTTGACTTAAGGAAGAGAATGCTGTTTTGAAGTTCCCTGACCAGGCGGGGACACTGCAGAATGCAGCCACTAGCAGCTCCCTCACAGCACATCTCAGAAGCCTCTCCAAAGGCGAATCTCCCGTGGCTTCACCTTTCCAGAATTACTCCTCCATTCACAGCCAGAGTCGCTCGGCCTCATCACCCAGTCTGCACTCCCGTTCGCCTTCCATTTCCAACATGGCAGCTCTAAGGTGGGTGTCTTTCTTTGTTTTAAACAAGGTAGGCAAAGCTTTTAGCTCTCTCATGTTTTGAAGGATTTAAGGTTTCTATTGACAGCTCTTGGATAGTTTTCAGGGGGAAAGGTCATAAAGTATGACTACTTTAAGGATTTTAAATCCGTGATGCCTCAGTTTTTTGTGTCACATTTAGAACCTGCTTATGCTGCTGTAAGGTTGCTTTGTTTCTCTCATGAGGTGGCAGCACTTGGGTGAACATTTAATTCTACAGATACGTTAGTTTTTTAACCTTAATTTATGATTTTTGTTTCTTTTTTGATATTTGATATATATACCTGCCCACATGCTGTTTTGTTTTGTTTTTTTAAAAGATTTATTTATTATTTATTCAGCATTCTGCCTATATACCAGATCTCACTATAGATGGTTATGAGCCACCATGTGGTTGCTGGGAATTGAACTCAGGACCTTTGGAAGAGCAGCAAGTGTTCTTGACCTCTGAGCCATCTTTCCAGCCCCCCACATGCTGTTTCATTAGCATAGATGCACACAGATGCTGCTGCATGGACATAGTACAAGCAGCATACTTTAGACCTTTGTGAATAATGAATAATGAAGCCATTTTCTGAAGAATAAAATAGGCTCATTTTCAGTTTTACATGAGTGTATATCATATTATATATATGCACGGCATGTACGCACATGCACACACACACACACACACACACATGCACGGAGCTTCTCTGTGTAGCTGTGTAGCCCTGGCTTTCCTGGAGCTCAGTATATAGATCAGACTGCTCTAGAACTCAGAGAGATTTGCCTCTCTGGTTCTTTAGTGCGGGATTAAAGGTGTGCTCCTCTCTGCCTGGCATGAGTGTGTTTTTTTTTGTTTGTTTCTTTTTTAAAAAGATTTATTATGTATATATCTATGCATGTACACCTCCGTGCCAGAAGAAATCACCAGATCTCATTATAGATGGTTGTGAGCCATCATGTGGTTGCTAGGAATTGAACTCATGACCTTTGGAAGAGCAGCCAGTGCTCCTAGCCTTTTAGCCATCTCTCCAGCCCTTTATGAGTATGATTTAACACGCGTTCAAAATAAGCTTTAGGCTATCGTAAAGTGCAAACCATTTAAATAGCTATTTAATTTTGAAAGTGTCTGTGTAAGAGGGATTGTACCATAAGTATTGCCTATGTGTAGGATTGGAGACGTGTTACTGCCATGTGTTAGAAACTCTAGCTGCTCGTGGTGATGCCCTCTCTCTGGTTATTTTGCAGTCGTGCTCATTCTCCTGCCTTAGGTGTGCACTCTTTCTCAGGGGTGCAAAGATTCAACCTTTCAAGCCATAATCAGTCACCAAAGAGACACAGTGTTTCTCATTCTCCGAGTGGCAGTTTCAACGACTCATTTTTGGCACCAGAAACAGAGCCAATTATTCCTGAGCTGTGCATTGACCACCTGTGGACTGAGACACTTCCCAATACAAGGTTTGTTGGATATAATTTTCTTTTCAAAGAAAAAATTATTAATGTTTGGTGTTGTGCCTGGTCGGTTTAGCTCAGTGGTAGTGTGCTTGTCAAATATGTGTGAAAATTTTAAACCATCTTTCAGCATCAGTTATGTTATTAACATATAAACTATAGAGATATACATTTATACCATCCTAATTTTAAAAGAAATTATTGATACATTTTTATTGATAATAAAAATGTTTTGTCATTGAATACTTTTTTAAGATAGTAATCTTTGAGATTTGAGGTGTTTAAAGTTTTGGGGTAAAACACCTGATTCTGTAGTATCATAGTTAGGGTTCTACTGCTGTGAAAAGACACCATTACCATGGCAACACTTTTTCCCCCCAAGATGGATTTTCTCTGTGTAGCCTTGGCTGCCCTGGACTCTCTTTGTAGACAAGGCTAACCTTGAACTCACAGAAATCTGCCTGTCTCTGCCTCCCTGAGTGTGGGGATTCCATGCATACACCACTGAGCCCGGCTCCAAGGCAACACTGATAAAGGAAAGCATCTAATTGGGACTTGATTCCAGTTTCAGAGAGTTAGTTTATTATCCTGTTGTTGGGAAGCAGACAGGCATGGTGCCGGAGCAGTAGCTGGTACATTCTGATATGCAGGCAGCAGGCAGGGCAAGAGTAAGATGCCGGTCCTGGAGGAGGCTTTTGAAATCTCAAAGCCTAGCTCTATTAAGACATTTCCTCCGACAAGGCCATACCTCCTAATCCTTCCCTGGCAGCCCCTCAGTTGGGGCTAAGCATATAAAGCATATAAAGTTGAGCCTGGAGGAGGGAGGGTAGTCTCACCACATGTAGATTTCATAATTTAAGATGTTATAGCTGTTTTTAGTAAATCTTATCTCTGTGTTAAATGTCAGCTGGACATTTAAAAAAATATTTATTTTTATGTATACAATGTTCTATCTGCATGTACTCCTGCATGCCAGAAGAGGGCATCAGATCACATTATAGATGGTTATGAGCCACCATATGGTTCCTGGGAATTGAACTCAAGACCTCTGGAAAAGCAGACACTGCTCTTAACTACTGAGCCATCTCTCCAGCCAGTCAGCTCTACTTTTTGAGAAATAAATAACCCTAATCTTTTTATGATCTCATTGATAATTTGTTAGTTAACCCAACCACATGCCAGTGTGTGGGCTAATTAGTAAGGCATTTAACGCTTGTCCAACACACAGTGAAAGACAGTAACACTGGAACACTTGCTGTTGTACAGGCAGGGGTGGGGAAGAGGGGCACAGAAGACAGCTGTGATCTAAAGAGCAGTTCAGAGTGGGAGTATTCACTTTGTGAGGGGAGGGGCGGGCTGCGAATGAAGAGGCATGAGAGACTGGTTGCTTTTTGGGTCTGCTTACATGTGTATAGTAAACAAGCAGCAGAATGAGTTGTAGGTGTGACTGAGGCAAGAGAGGTGCATTAGGATTTAGAGAGTGAGTAGTGACTATGAGCTCTTAGGGTTCCTGGAGGGCTGTGGATAAGTTTACAGGGCTTCTGTTCATTGTGAAGTTATTAGGTGATGGTGGAGATGTGAAGTGTAAGCCTTTCCTAGGCAATGTTTTTAAAAATTCATTCAATTTTCACATTAGTCTGTCATTTCCTGACAAGTTAAAATTGACTGGTGTAGAAGGCTAGGGACTGCAGAGGCAGAGGAAGCAAAGTCAGGTGGGAGTACCAGTAGGGACATCAGGAACACACAGACATTTCAAGAAGAAAGTAGCGCTAGTATTTCAGATGATGGTGTTGCTTTTCCCTGACTGTTGACCTCAGAGGTGTGTGGACAACAGTCGGGTTACTTTACTTCCCTTAGGCTTGAGAGTGGACAGGGCAGCGTGGACAGAAGGTGAACGGGAGCTGAGGAAGCGAGCATAGATTCATAGAATGTTTTAGGGAGTTGCCTCAGGGTGTTTTGCCTTACCTGAACTATGTAATTTCTGTGAATTTCACCCAAATTTGTTGCTTTGCACATATAAGCTATGAGTGGGGTTTTTGTTTATTTGTTTGTTTGTTTGTTTTTTTTACCTATCCACATAACCCTAACTCTAACCCTGAGTAAAAATGGTTGTGTGGCTAGGTTGAAAAACATTCTTTTTTTTTTTTTTAAGATTTATTTATTTATTTATAATTTATACATTATCATGCCTGCATGCAGGAAGAAGGCGCCAGACCTAATTATAGATGGTTATAAGCCATCATGTGGTTGCTGGGAATTGAACTCAGGACTTTTGGAGGAACAGTCAATGCTCTTAACCTCTGAGCCATCTCTCCAGCCCTAAAAAACATTCTAACCCCTGTATGCATGTTCTCTTTCTCTCTTTTTCTCTTTTTGTGTGTATGTAATATATTTGTGTGTGTATGTGTATATTTGCATGTGTAGTTCTACTGGTATGTGCATGTGAAGGTCTGGGTTTGATATCAAGAGTCTTCTCTGATTCTCCTACATCTTATTTATTGAGGGAATAAATTTATTTATTGAGCTGAATCCAGAGTTGATTAGTCTGGCTGCTTATACTATCTGTCTCGGTCCTAGAACCCCTTGTCTCTACTTTCCAAGTGCTGCATTTATACTTGGACCACCACATTGACCTGCCATTTAGTAAGGTCCTGGGAATTCAAACTTCATCCTCACCTTTGCATGGCAAGTGCCTACTGGTTGTGCCATCTTCCGAGCCCTTCATTTCATCCCTTGTTGCATGCTTTTTAGGCCGCAGTCTAGTCTAAGACTTGAGCAGAGCTATGCTCAAGTAGAGAAAGCATTGCACATACAGAGAAAGGGCACGATGGATGTATGAGGGAATCTGGAAGTGGAAAGATTAGTTTTAGAAGTGAGAGTTGACCACATACACAGAACATGGAGTTTTTGTGTCATGGTTGTTACTTGATCCAGGAAGTATTTAGCTTTCTTGTAGAACATTTTCAAAGATTTTTAAGTTACTGAGGTAGATTTTTGGACTAATACTGACAGTTTATTCATGTGTTTACTTCAGAGAGAAAAATTCTGCGGCCTCGAAGGTATTTATAACGACTGACCTGTGTGGGCAGAAGTTCCTGTGCTTTTTAGTGGAGACCCAGCTTCAGTTACGGTAAGTGCTTTTATTTCTTATTATCTCTGAAGAAATTTAGAGCTGATTCCCTCTGTCCCTTTCTATTTGTCTTATGTAGCATTATTGAGAAGTAGGTTATGTATCATAATATTAGCTTGTAGTAAGTGCACAGTTTGATTATTTTTAGTGTGTTTATAGAGGTATGTAGCCATCAGCCACCACAGTTCAGGCTTAAACACTCTGTCACCATGGACAGTCCCTCTGCCATTTGCAGCTAATCTTGCCCCTCTGATGGAGAGATGACTTGCCCTAATGAGACTCAGACAGCCTCATTCTGGGGGATTTTCTGTCTTACTTTTTCACTTAGAAATTACTATAGCTTATAGCAAGCTGTAAAATTATAGAGAAGTCCTTCTTATTATTACATTTTTTTGTGTGTCTCCCTGTGCCTGTGTGTCTGTCTGTATCCTGAGGCATTCATGTGGAGGTCTGAGGACAAGTTAGAGGATCTGTCCTCCTTCACTGTATGGTCCTAGGGATTACATGCAGGCTGTCAGGCTCTACCTGCTGAGCCTTCTAGCTCCCCTCGTCCCCATACAGTCTTTTTTCCCAGTGGTAACATCTTATGTAACCATAGCATGTTTCTAAAATCAGGAAACTGGTGTCAGTATGACCCACATATCGCCATTCTTTTGTTTTACATGTATTTATTTCTGTGTATATTTATATGTATTCATGCATTTTTCTCAAATCTGCAGATTTGTGTAATAGTCGTAACAGTTAAGATACAAAATACCTTGTTACTTTGATGATTTTTCCTTTGCTGCATTTCTGTATCCATCCCATACTGTCTGGCCTCTTGTTCTCCAGCTATAGTGAACATGTACTTGTTTCTCTCTCTCTTTGAGACAGGGTTTCTCTGTGTAGCCCTGCCTGTCCTGTAACTCACTCTGTAGACCAGGCTGGCCTTGAACTCACAGTGATCCTTCTGCCCCTGCCTCTCGAGTGCTGGAATTAAAGGAGTTCATCACCACGCCTGACCCACATAATACTCTTAAGATGCGTTTCTTTTTGTCTTTATTTTCATATTTAGCTGTGTGAAGTTTCAAGAGAGCAATGACAAGACCCAGCTCATCTTTGGTTCTGTCACCAACGTACATGCAAAAGATGCAGCGCCAGTGGAGGTGAGTGCACAGAGAAAGTACTGTGCTCTATCAGGTTTTTCTGGACATTATTTACTTAGAATACAAGAGGGTTTTGTTTGCTTTCTTTCCTCTTTAGAAGATAGACACCATGTTGGTACTGGAAGGCAACGGGAACCTGGTGCTGTACACTGGAGTGGTTCGGGTATGTGAAAGCAGTGCTTCGTGCTTTCGGTAGAGCTGCCTCCGTTAGAGTCGGCTCTGCTTCCTCTGTGCAATTTTGTAGAAGATTCTTGTGGAAAAATGAAGCTAATTGTGGAGGCCAGTCTTAATTTGGACTAGGGCTCACCATTAATGCATTGCTGTGCACGTGTCACCGCCAAATGGGAAGCTTTATTGTGTACAGGTAGCCTTGGAAACCAGTTTGGGAATGGAAGATTAGCAGCTTGGGGAAGCACCAGCATTGTTGCAATATTTAAAGGCATGTGCCCCAAACCTGGCATTTATTATACTAAATGTTATTTATGTTGGTTGCAGCTTCCTTTTGTAACACTTGTAAAATTTAAAAATACAGACTTAAGCTGGGTGTGGTGGTGCAGACTTGGGAGGTGGATTTTTGTGAGTTTGAGGTCAGCCTGGTCTACCTAGTGAGTACCAGAACAGCTAGAGCTACATAGTGAGACCTTGTCTCAAGAAATAAAAAAATAAATGAACAAATAAAAAGATATACTTAGTCTAGGGAACAATGAAGGAAATGTATTGCCGGTGTCTCTTTTTTCCTATTAATATTATTGTCTATAAGGCGGGGTCTCATTAAGTAGCACATGTCTTGGGACCACCCCCCCTCCACCCCAATACCTGGCCAATAGCTTTATTATGTTCTCTAAATGTAGCTGCCATCTGCGTCTCCAACACACTATCCTGAATTTTCAATAAACTGTCCTTTGATTTTATTGTTAGCTTTGCATTTATGAGTCACTGAAGAACAGTTTTTTGAATTTTTATATAAAGGGGTTATAAGTATGACTCTTGATGTCCTTTATGAAATTTGATAAACTCTCTTTAACATTGCTTTTACAGCTTTTTTTTTTTAAACAAAAGAATTTATACCTAGGTATTCACAGTTGGCTGGTAGAATTTGAAAGGTTGTTAAATGTGCATTTTGCTTTTCAGTTGTGTATAGTGAGCGTGAACTTCACCTTATGTAAAGAACTTTTAGCTCATGTCCTAAACATACAACCTGAGGACAGGATCTATTCACTGACGCCTTCCCCTCGTCTTTTTATTGCTCAAGGTGGGGAAGGTTTTCATTCCTGGGCTTCCTGCTCCTTCCCTGACAATGTCCAACATGATGCCTCGGCCTAGCACCCCGCTTGATGGGGTTAGCACCCCCAAACCTCTCAGCAAGTTACTTGGATCAATGGACGAGGTAAGAAATAGACCAGGTCTCGTCGAATGTTAATCAGATTTTAAAGAGGTTTGGTCAAGTATGAGTTCTTTGCATGGTTAATTTAATTTTAGGAAATATTTACAGATACAAGTTTTTAAGCAAAAGTGGAGGTTCCTACATGCTGATTTCCTTTGTGCTATGTTCTTTGAGGATGAGGTGAAAATAGTTTTGTTTTTTTTTTCAATCTAGAGATTTCACAATTTCTCAAAATGTAGTAGATGTGTGGTCTGCATAAGAAATCATAATTTTGCCTTTAATCCCAGCACTTGAGGAGGCAGAGGCAGGCAGCTCTCTTGTGAGTTTGAGGCTAGCCTGGTCTACAAAGCGAGTCCAGGACAACCAAGGCTACTCAGAGACACCCTGTCTTGAAAATCCAAAAAGAGAAAAACAGGAAAAAAAAAATCATAATTTAAGGTAGCCCTTTAAGAGTTATAAGACGGGCTGGAGAGATGGCTCAGTGGTTAAGAACTGGCTGTTCTTCCAGAGCACCCGGGTTCAATTCCCACCACATGGCAGCTCACAACTGTTTTAACTCTTAATTCCAGGGGATCTGGCATCCTCACACCAATGCATATAAAATAAAATTAAATGATTAAAAAAAGAATTATAATTGAGGAGCAAAGGTGTTAATGCTTCTGCCTTTATCGAGGGCAGGACACGCTGCTCAAGGCGTGTCATTCTGGCCTAAATCTTGAGGGTAAGAGGGTAAATAAAGGACTGTTCAGGGCAAGGGCATGAACACAGGAGCGTGCAAAAGGCTTTTTCTTCCTGAGGCATCACGTGTAGTTCATGGTGGCCTAATCTTGAGCTCCCGATGCCCTGCCCTCAGCTCATCAGTGCTGGGTTATAGGTATGCAATACCGTATGTAGCTAGAAGATCATGTCGTCAGTGTGTCTCCTAAAACCTGAGCTAAAGAATCAACAGATCTGTGGAATACGTAATAGTGTGTTGGCTGGGGCAGAGCAGAGAGTGGGATAGTAGTAGTGATTTAAAGAGTGGGGTAACAACAACAGCTTATTATTTTAAATTGTCTGCATGCTAGGCACTGTCTGCTCTGTCAGTATTTTCCTGTTAGAACAACTGTACTCACTGGGAAGATACTTTACTTTATAGGTGGATGTGCAGAGGAGCATGGAGCTTCATTGTCCAAATTTAGAAAACTGTTATGTGATAAAAGTGGGGTGGAGGAAAAGACGGTGTTCTCAGTGCAGTTCCCTTGGCATTGTGTGTTTGTGAGAAGTTTTTCAACTCATTTGTTTTAGATGAGTTTCTCCTAGGGTTGAAGATAGTAAGGCTGAGTGAAGTCTGTGTCAGTATATAAGGCTGAGCTTGGTGTATGTGCAGAGGAAGAGAGTGACATGGCAGGCCTGGACAGGTGTGAATGAATGATGGTGTGTTGGCTAGCAGCATTAGTTCTCTTAGGCTGTTGAGTGCCATTGGGGAATGAGGCTGAGTTCTATGAGCAACTCAGGCTGACACCTGTGCTCATCAGGCTAGAAAGCCCAGAGACAAGTGGTCTCCATTTGAAGGGCATCATGATATGCATATGTATATGTCAGATGCCTTTTGTAGTTTTCTGTGAAGAGCTCAGCTTGCTGCAGGCTCATTACTGGAACAGAATGATTGGAATCATCAAACCATATGCAAAAATAGTTTCTTTTAAGTCTCAAAAAGTCTCTCATCTGTGTTGTGCTGTGACTTTTTTCTAGGTGGTTCTGTTGTCTCCAGTTCCAGAATTGAGGGATTCTTCAAAACTTAATGATTCTCTCTACAATGAGGATTGCACTTTCCAGCAGCTTGGAACTTACATTCATTCCGTGCGAGACCCTGTTCATAACAGAGTCACTCTGGTAAGTCCTCCTTCAAAGGGTAGAGTAGCTGGCTGACACTTCACTTTTGGCAGGATATAAAATCATGTGTGAAAATGAGTATGAACATCTCTCATGATTTTAAACACTTACTATTGTTATATGAAGTGCATATGTATAGGGGTTTGCATACATGTGGCCAGAAGACAACTTCATGGAGTTGGTTCTCTCTTATTTTCATGTGGGCTGTAAGAACTGAACCCAAGTTGCCAGGCTTTCAAGATAATTGCTTTAACTGCTGAGTGAATTTGTCACTCCTGTGTCTCATAATTTTTAAAACATACTATCATTTTGTACTATTCTACTTTAGTTCAGTTTTTATCTTCTGAGATATTAAACATGTATCCAGTCCCATCCCCCACTCAGGAGTGTGGGGAGTCAGTGGTTTCTGGGGTGGAGGGTTGGTTTCCTTTAAGGGTCCACCCATCAGTGGATTGCTCCACATCCAGGAGTGTAGCACAAATTGGACTTGATGGGTTGTTAAGAAAAGGAGAGAGGACAGGAAGTTGGGCATAGAAAAGTGGGAGGGCCTGGGAGGACTTAGGGGGAGGAAAGGGAGGTGACTATGATAAAAAAAATGTTGGATGAAATTCTCAAGTAATTAATAAAAATATTTAATAATTTTATTTAAAAGAAGTATATTTAGTCCATCTGTTGCATATTGTCATGCCTTTGTCTTTTTGGTGGAAGTCACTTTTTGATGATGATGTCTCATATAGTATTTGTATAAAAACACTATTAAAATGAAATTTCTGAAAGTATTTTGCAAAAATGCATATTTAGTTAGAAGCATTCATTTCTCATTGAAAAATGTAGCGATTTGTTTTATTGGATTTTGCTTTGACATGCAAACAGTAGTATAAATTACCATTTCTTTTTTAAAGCTTTTAAAGACTTAGAATGCCTAAGCTGTCATTTTTTCTTGTTTCCATTCTTTCACTAGGAACTGAGTAATGGCTCCATGGTTAGGATCACTATCCCTGAAGTGGCCACCTCAGAATTAGGTACGGTTTGATTTAGCACTCAGTTGATGGAGATGGTTTCCGTTCTTTTCTGTGTATGTGAGTGTGTGCCTGCGTGTATGTCTGTGCATCACATGAATGCTGCGCCCATGGAGGCCAGAAGAGGGCGTCATGTCCTCTGAGACTAGAGTTATGGATGGTTGTGAGTTGCCATGTGGTAGCAACTTATCGAACCCAGGTTCTGAACAAGAGCAGCCCATGCTCTTGACTTAGACCGTCTCTCCAGCCTACAGCTTGTTTGTAGGAGTGATTGCTCTGCAACATCTGATTTAATCTTACTTTGTTTTCAGCTGTAACATACTTGGTTTTTAGTTTTCTAAGATTCATTTTCATTTGCAGTGTTTGTGCTCATATAGCAGAATGATGAGGAAAAGGCTGTGCTGCTAAGGATGGAGTCAGTGACAGTGATGGAGGGGAGGGAATGAGAATGAACGCTGTTACTATCTGGAGCTACTCCCAGTAGCACATCTGCACTGTTTGCAGGCTGCAACTGATGTTCACACCAATGACTAGGCATCACTAAGAATAGTATACACTATAGAGCATTTGTCCTAACCCTCACCATTATGGCATGGTGAGGGAAGATATTTTAGGAATTAAAAGTTGCAGTTTTAGTTGACAGGAATGTTCACTCATTTAGAACATCTTGCATTGCCCCCTAAGTGTTCCTGTTGGTAGGTGCCTGTGTTGCATGTTGTAGCTACTGAAAGATTAAATTGGTGTTTCAGGTAAATTTATTGGTGTAGAAATTAGATTTTTTTCATAGAGTAAACTTTATTCCAACTAGGTCAGTTTTGAGAGTGAGACAGGAACAGTTATTTATTAGAGCAGTGGTTGTAGTTAGCGTTATCTCAAGTGAAGTGGGCTATATATTCACCTTATTTCTAATCCAAAATTAGGGCTCTGACAGCTGTCCTCAGATTTCCTGTGATCTCTGTTGAATTCACTAGTTGGTTTAAAGTGATTGACGTTGATGAGGCAATGTTTGTGCCTGATTGCCTCCTTATGACATTTCTCTTTTTCTATGGGCTGGCCTTGACTTAGTAGCAACTTGAACCTTCCTACTTAAAGAGTAGGGGACTACATACATAGAAAGCATACTAAACTCAGGGTTTGCTTTTAATAGTACAAACATGTCTGCAAGCAATCAAGTTCATCCTGCCAAAAGAAATAGCAGTTCAGATGCTTGTCAAGTGGTACAATGTCCACAGTGCTCCAGGAGGACCCAGTTATCACTCAGAATGGACTTTATTTGTGATTTGTCTCTTGAACATGATGGGTTATAACACCGACCGCTTAGCCTGGACCCGAAGTGTAAGTAAATACAGTAGTTTTCTCCGTTTATCCTGTTATAAATGTAGTGTTTGTATTACTGGTTGCACAACACCAGAGAACCTAACAGACAAACTTAAAAGGTACGCCTTATTTATGATGTTGGAATTATACTAAGGCTTATTGTATAATATAGCTTGAATCAAATACTCAGTAAGCTTTGAGTCTTTATAATGTTTTAAGGCACATTTTCCTTTTCCTTTTTTTTTTTAAATCAAGCTCTTACTCTGTATGTAGCACCACATTCCAGACTTTGCCTCCCAAGTGCTGGGATTGCAGTCATGTCTTACTAAATGCCTGATTTTCACAGTTTCTCAGTTCATCTTTGTAAAATGACTGTAAGTAGTACTCTGAGTTTTGTCATTAGGAGAATCGGGAGCTCACAGACTTGTGCTTTGCTCGTTTGAAGTGCTTCAGTCTAAGAACACCATTGGTGCTGTGAAACCGTGTGCTGTGCTCAGGCTCCGAGGCATTTTTTTACAGGTGGTTTGCAGAATCGCCAGCAGAGTGCCTTTAGTGGGGTGCTTTGTCCTTTTGGAGATCACTCTCCAGACAGCCATCTTTGGGGCAATGAAGAAGTTACTGTCCCCAAAACCTCAGACATACTTGCCTATGTGTTTTGGCCTCATGCTAGTAACTCATTAAAAAAAAAAAAAAAAAAAAAAAAAATTAGAGCTTTTTCTTCTTCATTATGAAAGTGTATTTTCTCACTGAGGAAGATTTGAAAAATGGAAGAAGAAGCAAGCAGTTATACCCTGTTCCTTGGAATAGGTGCTATAGATGCCTTTAATGGTGCCTTTTACATAAAAAGTAGTACTGATAGAAAAATTTCACAGAACCCTTCCATCTTACCATATCTAAACAAATAGCCAATATTTGGGTCTTATTGGAAAAGTTTTATTTTGAGTAATTTGCCAGTGGTTTTTTTTTTTTTTTTTTTTTTCTTTTACATAAATTACTAATTATGTATCTAGTTATTTCAAGAGATGAGTATTTTAAGAGATCGGGCCAGATAACATTTAGAAGGGGTGTCCAGTCAACATTCTTTCTAGTGTTGTTTAGGAGTGCCCTTGTTACCACATTGATTACTTGTAATGTAGAGACCCTTTGCTAGATCAGAGTAATGGTATATTATTTCCGTGCAAGTGGAGATATTTTCTTTTTCATGTTCTCACTAGTCAACTGGAAACAAAGTATAACTTGGGGTTTTGACTAGCTCTTTGGAGCATTTTGCTTATATTTGGTCCCTTCTCAGCTCAGCAGCCTGATAAAGCTGGCCTAGAAATCCTCCAGAGACTGCCTGTCTCCTTCAGTATATCAACCATGGACTTGCACTGTGTCCTGTAACCCCAACCCCTTGTGCCTTTCTGCTCCTTTGTCATCTCTGCCGGCCACCCTGACCTCTGTTCTGTTCCCCAGCTTTCCAGGTGTGGGCCACACTCAGACTTTCGTGCTTCTTTCCTTTATAGAAAATACTTCTTCGTGGCAGGGCCTGCTTGGCCTGTTCAGGTGTCACTCCAGTATAGCCTCCCCTGTCTGTCCCATTCACATGTGTTCCTTTCTCTGTTTGCCTGTTCAGCCTTTTCCGTTAGCACATGTTTTATATAGCACATTTTTATATTTTCACTTACTGTGTATCCGCCTTCCTCTACTGGAATATAAGTTGTAGGGAGCAAGGAGTTGTGCTCAGCTCTGTTCACTCTCTGTCCCTTGGTGCCTGGGTTAGGTGAGTGCTCAGGGAACAGCTCCTCATGAGTGTCCTCAGTACTGAGCTTATGTGTGCTTAGTGTGGGAAGAGTTGCCTTTGTAGTTTACTTGAGAAAAGTTTTCCGGTGAGAACAGGGCTGACTTTGATTCTAAGTATTTACAGTGGTTGCCTCCTCTTCTCTTTCTGCACTTTATCACATCGAGAAACAAGAAGAGGATTTTAGAATCATGAGTACGCATCCTTTGGCTCTCTCTCTCTCTCTTTTTAATGTGTAAGTAACAAGTTGAGCTTGTTGACAAAAAGTTTTGTGCCTCTGTCTCACAGAGTAGTTAGTAAACTGGCTCATCCCATATTTTCATTTGTGGGAAGGACGGAACACACACTTCCATGTTGCATGATGGCCTGAGGTGAGAGAAAATCCCTTTAAAACAAGCGAAAACTGATGACTCTCAGTATATGCCCAAGCTAGTCCTGAACTGTATTCAAGTACCTCTCTTGCCATAGCCTCTCTAGTCGTTAAAACTATAGCTTTGCTGTACTACCTAGCTTGAAAGTCAGTTCTCAGGGACAGATACTTCGATGTTTCTTGAATGGGGCACACGTTAAACTTATGGCATCCTTTTATCCCTTTTTTTTTTCCTATTTGTTTAGTCCAGGTTTACTTACTTTTTGTTTTCATTTCTATAACATGGAAGAGAGTAGTAATGACTCCTTATGTGATTTCTGGTATTCTATTGTGTGGATATAATTTGCATCATCAGAGAAGTAGAGGAAAAGAAGTGACCATTACTGTACCTATGAGCCCAGTGTGCTGTGCTGAATGCTTTAAGCATGATTTAACCCCATGATCACTTGACAGAGACTTGTACCAGACTTTCTTCAGTCTCTGTAATTAGTGATTTTCTTCAGTTTCTGTAATTAGCAGAATGGATACCCTAATTCTTAAGCTGATTAGTTAACAGTAATACAGTAACGATTTTGTCTTCTGCTTTTTCAGTTCGACTTTGAAGGATCACTTTCTCCAGTCATTGCACCCAAAAAAGCGAGGCCTTCTGATACTGGATCTGACGATGTAAGTGTTGTTATTTCTTGCTAATGTTACAGACTTGTGGAGACTTGTGCTGATGTCCCATGACTGATATTCCTGTCAGTTTGTCAGTTTTCCCAATGTCTTCTGCCTTCTTTATTTTATGTCTGAGTATATTGTTTTTAAGGATAGAATCTGTTATGTTTTCTGTCTTATATTTATTTTTGTCTTTAACCAACATATAAAAACTACTATAAATGTATATATTTTAGTATGATTTCAGCCTGAACTTGTAGATTTATGTATTGGTAATTGATAACTATTTGACAGCATTTATCCTTTTATGTAGCATTTCTCTGGTTTAGGCTTAAGTACCTCAGATTCCATTGTATATTCTGAAGTGGTCCAAAGCACTGTGTCACTGTGTCATACTGTGTCATTTGTGATCCATCCTTTCTCTCTTTCCTCAGGCAAGCTCTGACTTGAATTCTTTGACCATACAGTACCTGTTTTAGAATTTAATATAAATGACATAATAACAGTCTGTATTCTGGTATACTTAAGGTTTCTTTCATTCAGCATAATATATTGGAGATTCATCCATGGTGGCATAAATATCAGTTGTCTGTTCTTTTTATTACCTAGTGGTATACTGAAGTTTGTTTTGCATTCCTTCTATTGATGGGTATGTGAGTCTGTTTCCAGTTTTGTTTTTGTTTTTGAGTGAAGGTGCCTGTGGGGTCCAGAGATGTCAGATCCCCTGCTGGAATTAAAGTGGCTATGAACCATGTAATTCAGGTGCTGGGAATCACACTTGTGTCCTTTGCAAGAGTATTGTGTTCCCATAGCCACTAAACCTCTCCAGCCCCCACAGTTTTTTTGTTTGTTTGTTTGTTTTGTTGTTGTTGTTTGGTTTTTTGTCTCTTTTTTTAAGGTTTATTTATTTATTGTTTATACAGTAGTCTGCCTGCATGCCAGAAGAGGGCCCTAGATCTCATTATAGATGGCTATGAGCCACCATGTGGCTGCTGGGAATTGAACTCAGGACCTTTTGAAGAACTGCCAGTGCTCTTAACCACTGAGCCATCTCTCTAGCCCTGTTTTTTTTTTTTTTTTTTTTTTTTGTTGTTGTTGTTTTTTTTTGTTTTTTTTTTTGTTATTTGTTTTGTTTTTGTTTTTTGGATTTTCAAGACATGGACTCTCTGCCTATCCCTGGCTGTCCTGGAGCTCTCTCTTAACTATGGTCTTCTCGAACTCACAGGGACCCACCTGCCTCTGCCTCCCAAGTACTGGGATTAAAGTTGGCTGCCACCATGCCCGGCCATCCCTGCTATTATTTTTAAATGACATTTTCAAGAGGCATTATGTAAATAATTACTTTCCTTTTTTTTTTCTTCGTAGGACTGGGAATATTTACTGAATTCAGACTACCATCACAATGTGGAGTCTCATCTTCTGAACAGATCTTTATGTTTGAGTGCTTTGGATACTGCAAAGGCAAAAGATGATGATGTTTCACAGAACCTCAGTCTGGATTCTTCTACTCTTCTTTTTGCTCACATTCCTGCAATTTTCTTTGTTCTTCACTTGGTTTATGAAGAGCTCAAGTTGAATACTCTAATGGGAGAAGGGATTTGTTCTCTTGTGGATCTTCTTGTTCAGTTGGCAAGGTAGATGTCATTAGGACACTGCAAGAGGTCCTAGAGGGCTTGCTTTCTATGATGTGGCATAGGAACCTCCTAGAAAAACTCTCTAGTCTTCCCCTCACAGACAACCACAGCATTGTCTGCAAAACATAAAACTGTTGGTGCTAGTTACATGTGTGCCTGCGGCCATGTGGGGATCTTTAGTTTTTATCTCAAGATTCAGAGAAAGTCAGAAGCAGGGTGACTGCCTGACTGGGCCTTCTGTTCTGACAAGCTGTTTGGCTGCACTCTTGCCTCTGTTCTGTAACAGTGCCCACATTGACATGTTGCCTTCCCTTGGAAAATTCTTGTGTGGATGAAGTGCCAAACACTTGTCCTGCTGTGGTGGGGACAACTGTCCCAATCATGTGTGGCAAGAGTGGCAGTGTAGCGGTAGCTGCTTTGCACTGACTTCCTTCCAGGGGGAAGGTGCTCATAGTGTAGCGCCTTGTTTGGCACTATTCTCCTAAAGTCACTTGTTTAGACTTTTGAGACCCTTGGTGACAATAAGTTAAAGTTGGCATTTCAGCCTCTTAATTAAGATGATAGCACATTTTCTGACTTCTGTGATCCTGAGGATCCTGAAATACTTTTCTGAAACATGGCATGTATATTCATTTATTTTAATTTTGGGTTTTTCGAAATGGGGTTTTTCTGTGTAGCCTTGGCTATCCTAGACTCCCTTTGTAGACCAGGCTGGTCCCGAGTGGCTGGCATTAAAGATGAACACCACCACGCCCAGCTCTAGCATGTGTATTTGATGATTTATTTCCCAAATGATATATCATTGCTATCACAAATGCCATTTTGTAATTTAATTTTTCTAAACATTGATCATGGCTTTCTGAAATACATAGCACCTGTCCTTGTAAATATGGCTAGCCTCAAACTTCGGATGCTTCTGCCATAGCCTTTCAAATTTTAGGATTTCCAGATGTATGCCACCATGCCCTATATTTCCCACATATATGTTACTCTTCAGAACTTGTAGTAGCCAGGTATAGTGGCACATGCCTGTAATCCTAGTGCCTGGAAGACTGGTGGAAATGCTGTGTCTGAGGGAGACCATTGTGTTTGAGAAGAAAGAAAAAGCAAAACAACACTAAACAATCAAGAAGCCTCAGAGTGAGTTAGGTAGCATGTCTCTGGTCTGTGGAGCTTACTTGCTGACGTTCACACAGCCAGTGAACAACAGGAAGTAGCAAGGTAGTGCTCTTTCTCTAGTTTGACCTTCATGAAATCTGTGTAGACAGAAGGTATGTGACAGCAGAAGGACCTGAAGATACTCTAGATTTGAAAGCTTTCTCATAAGCATGCTTTTAAGATTGGTAAGTTGACTGCAGGTGGCTGCTTACACCCTTGTTCCTGTCTGTATGCTCTTATGCTCTAGGGACTTAAAATTGGAACCTTACATGGATCATTACTTCAGAGATTACCCAACTCTTGTCAAAACAACTGGACAAGTGTGTACAATTGACCAAGGTGAGTGTCGACACCACTGCAGGCCTTCTGAACACTGGATAGGCATTTTGTTGTGTCTCTCACAGAGAAGAGCAGAGGATATGTCTTACTTTTAGCCAAGCTGATTTGAATTGGTAGCGTCTGAGCTGAGTTGAAGTAAGCCATAACTTCTTTAGTGTGTAGTTAAAACTGCCCATGCCAAAGCATAGATAACTCCTAGTGCCAGAGATGCTAACCTTGACCTGTGCTGTCCAGTTAGTAGCCAATAGTCATACCTTTACTTGACTTTAATTAACAGTAAAAATTTATCTCCTCAGTGCACTAGCCATATTCAAGATACTTAGTAGTCACCAGGGCTAGTAGTTACCATGTTGGGCAACACCTATGTAAACACTTATATTACCCACTGTTCCAGTATAGACTGGAACCGAAGGGGCTCAAAGAACCAAGCTGTATCTTTTGTGTCCCTTTTTTTTTTTTTTTGTTTATAGAGCTAGGCAGAAAAAAAAGTTACAGTCTTTGAAAACAATTAAATTAAGTATATTTTGTGTGTGTGGGGTGCATATGTGTTTGTATATGTGGATATTCATGTACCATTACATACATGTGGAGTTCAGAGAACAACTTTCTGGAGTCAGTTCTCTCCGTCTACCATGTAGACCTAGGGATAGAACTCAGGTTGTCAGGCTTGATGACAAGTGCCTTTACTGAGCCATTTGGCCAACTCTTGGCTAGTTCTTTGTATGCTTTATAAATGACATTGCTAAATTTCTATTTAGAATGGAGTAAAATAGAAATAACTTAAATTTATAGATAATGTAATCAGCTATTTACTATGACAAGAATATGATTCATTTTGGATAATATTGAAAATAGAATTCTTTATATTTATAAAATAGTTTGAAAGGACAAATATTGTGGCTACCCTTTTCTCATAATGTATTTGTGACTTAACAAATGTTTATATAATTTTACAGGTCAGATGGGATTCATGCATCAGCCCTCATTTTTCACTTCTGAGCCGCCAAGTATTTATCAGTGGGTGAGTTCTTGTCTGAAGGGCGAAGGAATGCCACCCTATCCCTACCTCCCTGGGGTCTGCGAGAGGAGCAGGCTGGTGCTTTTGGTATGTATTTAGAGTATTGACTGACTTACCTTAATTAGTTTTGTTTTTCTTTAAATTATCATACATACCACAGCAGACACTCAAATATACACACCCACAAATTATACTAAAATCAGTTTCTCTTCCTCTCACAGTTTTATACATTTCAGCAGATAGTTTCTTATTTTAATTAGAATATTGAATATTTGCTGCGCCTCTCACCATGAACCACCAGGTCCTCACTGTTGCTGACAGTCCACTGCACTGCAGTCCCGTAGTTGGCTTATCTGATAGCTGGATTTGCTCCTTTTTAGTGATTATAAGTATGGATCCTCTAAACAGTCACACACAGCTTTTATGTCAGCATAAGTTTTCATTTCCTTATGGAGAGGAGAGTACTGAGGACTAGGACTGAAAGATACATACTGAAGTGTATGTATCTTTTTACAGAAACGGCCAACGATTCCTGAGCTGCTGTGCATTTCACATTTCCTCCAGCAATGTTAAGAGAATGTTTCCTTATCTGTTATTTGTTACTTCAGTTTGGTGATCTGCAGACATATACCTCACTGTGCTTTTAAATTGCATTTCCTAGTGACTATGGTGATGTTTGAGATTTCTGTCTGAGGAGTTGTAAATTATGGTTTGCTGTTGCTGTTTTCCTGCATTGTACTTTGTGTCATTGTTCTGCCAAGAAAGTATTTCTCTTTCTTGTTTTTTTACATAGCATCTTTCTGTGTAGACCGGGGTGGTTTTGAACTGGTGATCTTGCCTCAGTATCTGGACTGCTGGGATCCTAGGGGAATACTACCACCCTGACTAAACGTGCCTTCAGTTGAGGTTTTTCTTACTCTTTGGATGCCCGCCCTGTGAACACTGATTGTTGATGTGACCATCCCTTTTTTGCATTTGTGCTTTGGTCAAAAGTCTGTCGACCTCTTTTTTTCAGGTCTGGACATTTTGCTGGTTCACTGATCTACAGGCTCTCCACGTTGTCTTGATTGCTAGAGTTTCATAGTAAGCCTTAAAATTAGGTTGTGTTAGTCTTCTCTCCATTACTCTTCTTTTTAGAAGTTGTCTTAACAGTTTTTAACCTTCGCCCATTTCATAATTACTTTACCTATTGTTATTAAAAGTCCTGTTGAAATATTTTTTAAAGAGTATTTTTATTTTTGGAATGTTGTTCATTTTGAATAGTTAGTGCAAACCTCAGTCTTCCATATAGAACCACAGGGCATTGGTAAAGTTGAGTTCCTTGCTATGCTTCTGTTTCTTGATGTTGGCGCAGTGAGTCTATAGGCCTGTTAGGGATCTTTGCAGAAATGGGGTCTTCCCAGGCGTACAAGAGACTCCTGCTTTCAGCCCCTCTTTTGAAAGTTGGAAAACTATAAATATCCCTTCATCTTTCTCTTCTCTGTTACGTGCTGTACTGCTTCATGTTGAACAGGGCTTTCTCAGCCTCCATGGCTCCAAGTAGGTACACACAGAGTGGTTCTGTGTTGTGTTTTTAATTCACTATGTAATCACCACCACTATCTTTCTCCAAAAGTTTTCATTACCCCAGCTTAGTTTCCTTTCCTGTTTCAGTGATAAAACACCCAGAGGAAAGCAACTTAGGGGCAAAAGGGGCTCTTTGGCTCATGATTCCAGGTTATAGTCCGTCATTGAGCAGAAGTCAAGGTGGCGGGAAATTGAAGCAGAAACCAGTGAATCAGTGCATATGTGCTCAGTTCGTGCTCTCATTCTACATAGTTCCATAGACGATTATATCAGTTAACATAATCATGGTAATCCCTCAGACATTCTCAGAGGCTGGCCTTAACCTAGGTAATTACAAGTGTGCCCAAAGGCTTCCTACCTCCTAGGTGCTGAGTTGACAATTCTTACTAACCCAGGCTGGCCTGGACCATGCTCCATTGAACAGCAGTTTTCTCTTCCTCTTCCCTTTGATCCCTGCTAACCTCTGTTCTGGTTCGTGAATTTGCCTAATCTGTGTACCTCCTGTTGTAATATTGCTGTATCCCTTTTGGGTTTTGAGTGATTCATAGAGATACTTAAAAATAAGGCTATTCTAGCTTCATGGTTAATACAGCTCTCTTTCAAGAGAGTTAATAGTTGAAAAGCAGTGTGCGGTAATTCAACAGTGTAGTAGATGTGTGCTGTGTTTCCCACCCCTTGCCTCTCACACACCTTTGTTGATCAGAGGCAGCTGATATTTTAAAGAGTTACTTGCTGGGGCAGGAGAGATGGCTCATTGGGTGCTGTGTAAGCATGGCTAGTTTGGACCCCCAGAATCCATGTAAAGCTGTAGCGTATATCTGTAGTCTCATAGTGCCTACTGGAAAAGTGGGAGGCAGAGATGGGAGGATCCCCATAAACTTGCAGGTCTGGGTTTATGCAGCAGTGATTAAGAGCCCCTGCTGGGGCCATGAGGTGTGGGACAGGCTGGAGAGATGGCTCAGTAGTTAAGATCACCTGGCTGCTGTCACTAAGCACCTATCACTAAGAGACCCTGCCACAAACCAGATAGAAGACAAGAACCAATGTGTGTGCAAGAATGTGTCCTCTGGCCTGCACATGTGTGCCATGCATATACGTCTATACTCACACATGAACACTCAGCAGGAATAAGCATGCACATCTATACCAAACACTGTACAGAAGTCATTTTCTCATGGGTGATTCTAAGTTGTTTGAACTGTTTTGTAATTTTTTTTAGTATTGTTTTTGAGTAAATATATTTCTAAATAAATTAAAGGCTAAATGAGGTACTTTCGGGTAGCTCCGCTATTATTAGGATATGAGTCAGTACGTATAAGGATAACTAAAACCATGAGAGTATGGAACAACTGAAACTCTGACTTTGCTTATGGGAAAAAAAGGATGCTCCAAATTTTGTAAATTTTAACATGTGTTTACTATAAGCCAGAGCAAGTTTACTCTCTGATGTGAAATATGTGGCCGTGCAAAGACCTGAATGTAAGGCATGAAGCTGTGTTTTTTTGTTTGTTTGTTTGTTTGTTTGTTTTAATAACTGATGGAAACTGGGAACAGCCTGTGTGTCTATCAATTTAAAAGCAAAATTGAAATAATTTTATTTTGTTGGTGTGAGTCTTTTGCTTGCAAGTGTGCCAAGTACCATGTACGTATGTATTGTGTGCATGCAGTGCCCATGGAGGCCAGAAGAAGACATTGGCTCTCTGAGAGCTCGAGTTACAGATGGTGGAGAGGCACCATGTGGGTGCTGGGAATTGAACCTGGGTCTTCTGGAAGAGCAGCCAGTGCCCTTAATCAATGAACCACCTCTATAGCGCATGCTCATCAGTTCTTTAGTAGATGGTACATCTCTGTAATGGATACCACTCAGCAGTAAAGAGGCTTAAACTCCTGATTGCAGCAGAAAGAGCTGAGTCTCATGCCTGTGCTAGGTCGTAAAAGTACTGGGACGATGCCATGCTGTGTGATCCCATTTACATCATGTAGCACAGATAGGCTAGTGGGCAGGAGAACAGACAAGTTATTTCTAACATTTGTGTAGAAGAAGGGTTGCTGACCGAACATAAGGGGTGTTTGAGGTATGATGCAGCTTTTCTGTACTGAAAGTGATAGTGTCACTTGGTGTATGACATTTGTCCACACTCATCGTGTTGTACATCTGGAATGGTGAGTCTCCCCACATTACGTTTTTCTTTCTTCATTTACTTAAGTAGTTTAATAAGAGCAGATTCATCTGGGAGTGGGACCACATTCCCATAATCCCAGCCCTACGGAGTCAGAGGCAGGAGTCTCAGTAGTTCAGAGCCAGCCTCAGATTCATGGGGAATTTGAGTCCACTCTGGGCTATATGAGATTCTGTTTCATAAACAAAAATAACCCAAACAATGGAATATGAAAAGTGAAAAAAACAAGTAACAGGTTCCTTTTCTTCTCTGCAGAGTGTTGCACTCTACATCCTTGGTGATGAGAGTTGCGTTTCGGATGAAGCCTCCCAGTATTTATCCAAAGTAACCTTAAGTAAGTTGCTGCAATGTTTGGCTCCCCCAAATGGAATGTTAAATGTTGGAGGGTGCTTGCCTTAGAGACCACATCTTGCCTCTTTTATTACTGTTCAGTCTTTAGCCACAACTGAATTTCAGATACCAGGTTACTTAAAATCTGACCAACCTGGCTTCTGTTGCAGCTTGCCACAGTACTGCTTGTGTTATTATTTTTAACGAGTCTTTGGTTAATGAATTTTTACTTCCAACTGTCTTCTGTGTGTTGCTTTTCTTACCAGGATGTTTATCAAAATAAAGTTTTCGTTTGTTGTCTTTCAGCCCCCCAAAAGCCACAAGCAGAACAAGAAGAAAACAGGTAATTTGTTTCAGGGTGTACTTTTATGTTTAGAATTGGAAGCAGTGTTAAGTGTTTATGTTTAACATTCTTTTGTTTTGTTCTCCATAGGTTTACTTTCCGGCATTCTGCTTCAGTTTCTAGTCTAGCCGAAAAATTAGTTGTCTGGATGACCAATGTAGGTAAGAGCTGTGTCGTCACCACAGGACTAGGTCCTACTTTCCACTCTCACTGGAACTGGGAGGTGTGAGGGGAGGTTCCAGTTTTCTGTGAAGGCTGAACATTGAGATACGCCTTATCAAGTCAGGTTTCCACAGCTTCCTTTGGAAGAGTAGCTGGGACACCCCCATTTTATAGTTTAGGGCTTTAGAAGTCCCTGTTTTCACTCCCTGTGGATCATTGGATGCTGTGGCTCTGTAAATTCATTTCAGAATGGCAAACTCGCGTTAATGTGTATGTGAGTGTGAAGCCATTCTGAGACAGCACTTTAGAGTGTATTCTCAAATTGAAAAGGCCAGAGATTTTAGGCACTGTGATGAACTTTAGCTAACAAGAAGAGAGGGAAATTAATTCTTCATTTCTTGGTCCAAATGCCCTCTTTCCTGTGTTTTAAAAGGATAGTAAAATTATTTTTAAAACAAACTGGTCAACAACAACAAAAAGCAAAAAGCTAACCCACCAGAAGTGGTGTTGCACGCCTTTAATCAGTTCCCAGGCAGCAGGGGCAGGCAGATGTCTGAGCTGGAGGCCAGCCTTGTCTGCAGAGTGTATGGCAGGCCAACTAGGGTTGCATAGTAAGACCCTGTTCCTTGCTGGGGAAAGAAGTTACTGATATGAGTTTAGGACAAAAAGTTGAGACTGTTCTACAAAGTAGTACCTTACAGAGCAGTGCTTCAGGGTGGCCACAGGTGCTTCTGGAGTCTTACCTGGAGTATGTTCTCAGAGAAGGTCTTCATGCCTTGTTTTTGTATGAGACACTGAAGAATAACAGTAGTTGTCCTACAGTGGATATATAGGATATGTAAATGGATAGTATTGAATGAATTCTGTCCATTGTATATCACTTAATTCTTAATAGAAGTTATTCCTATATAAGGAAGTATTTTACTTCAATAATTGAACAACTTTTATATCTTAAATAATAGATAATATTGTAAAATATTGCTAGAAAAAAAATTGAGTTGGCCTGAGCATTGCAGGTATTTTAAATATAAAATATATAACATTCAAAAGTGTGTGAAATGTGGATATAGAGACGAATGCCAAAGTGAATTTGGTTATTTGTCTCCCATCTTTGAAACAGCACGTGACCAGTGCAGCCGGTGCGCTGCCACTCACTTACCTCTGTGTCCTCTGTCTTGATTTTCTTCAGTTAATCGTCTTTATAGTTTGCTCACGAATGCATATTTGAGTGTTTGAGTATGCACATGCAAATACCACATTCACCTGAGCTGACTCGTGTGGCTGTAAGTCATTATTGAAGACAGACATTAGGACTTGCCCCCTCCCCTTTAACTCCCGTAATGAAACAAAGTTCCTGTTTTGGTTCTTGGTGCACATGTGCACAGTGTTCTTTGTGGCTGTAATGGGCCAGAGAAGTGAAGCATCTTTTCTTATGAACTCCCAGAGTAATGGTCACCAGTTTGCAGCACTGAGAATTGCTGTTGTTTGCCAGCTCTCAGTATCGGTTGACTCTAGTGTCTGATGATTGGGGAATTCAGATCTAACTGAAAATCAACTCTCCCTTTGTCTTACTCCAAGGATTCACTTTAAGAGATCTGGAGACTCTTCCCTTTGGAATTGCTCTTCCCATCAGAGATGCAATATATCACTGTCGGGAGCAGCCTGACTCAGACTGGTCAGAAGCTGTCTGTCTCTTGATTGGACGTCAGGATCTTTCCAAACAAGCTTGTGAAGGAAATTTACCCAGAGGCAAATCTGTGAGTATCAACATGTGAAGTTTAGTTTTAGCACCAGGTAAAATAATTTTCCTTCCCATCTTTACATTTTGGTAACTGTGCATATTAGTTTGCCTTTTATGTTATAAGCCAGATGGGCTTTGTAATTGAACATGGGAGCTGTGGCCTTACTTCTTGCTCTCTGTTGCCTGGACCTTTTCTTTGCCCATAATCAGGATGGTTACAGAGTCAGCAAGCCACCTGCCATTCCAGTTCTCTTGCTCGTACCTGTAAAAGCAACTGATTACTGTAACAGAGAACCCAGCCTGTGGTTTGACTAGCAATGATAACTGTTTTCTTGTTCATACTTTTGAAGGGCTCAATTTCTTGAATTTATCCTTTTAAATAGGTATAAATATATTTGCATAGTCCCTGAATAATAGTAAAATTGAAGCCTGAGGAAGAATACTTTATCCATTAGGGTTAAATCTATTTCAGAATGGGTCATAAGAAGCCTAGAAACAATGCAAATTTTTTGTTTGATTTGTTATAGTTGTTATTATTATTATTTTGAGACAGGGCTTTGACATAGACCAAGCTGGCTGTCATAGGGCTCACAGAGATCTGTGACACCTCTGAGCAAGCAGTGGGAATCAGGCTTGTCTCGTTAGCCTTTGAATCGTCACATCATTACAGTGTGGTATAACTGTGGATAGGTCACAGTAGGTCTTCTAACCCAACAGTTGCCATAGACTTGGGCCAGATTCAGTTTCCAGCGGAGTCTGATCTCAGATTTGCATCTAAATTGTAGCTCTCGTTGATTTGGTGTTTGCACTATTTTAAATACAAAATGGTCTTATTTTCTTGACCAAGAAAATCCAGGTGTGATAGTACATGTTTGTAACCAGAACTTGGACGACTGAGTCAGGAGATCACCATTAATTCAAGGATAGTCTGAACTACATAGTAAGACACTGTCCCAAAACATGCATGCATTCGTGCGCACGTGTGTGTATGTGTGTGTGTCACATACACACAGATGTTTGGTGTTTAGATTTTTTTCTTTTTTGCTCCAGAGAACTATTCAGCATGTAAACACTATAAATATTAATGTGTAAATTATTTAAATGTCGGTCTAGGCAAGTTTTCTAAATTCAGTTTCTTTAGTTATTTGAAACTAAATTTCAGCTTGGTTTTTGCTGTTTGTGTTTCTGTTCCGTAGGTTAGGATACACAGTCATTAATCTAACAATGGCACACTTTCCGAGAAATGTGTCCTTAGTTCTGCTGTGTAATCATCCTAGTGTTTATAGCTGGGCCACCATGCACAGATCCTTTCTTAGGGAGACACCATCATGTATGTGGGCTCTTGGTGGAAGTGCTGTGAGGTGCACAGCGATAGTTTGTTTTAGGTTAGTTATTTCAGAGGAGCCAAAGTAAGTTTTTATCTGGTCAGATATACCATGTTTTCCAGGCTAACATTGTTGCGTCCAGAAAATGTAAGCATTTTGATCAGGATTTAGGCTTTTATTGTAGTGTAAACTTTGTGAGAAGATGGAGAGGCCATGCAGTGCACAGCATGCCATGCTGTGTTCAGACTGAAGGCTTGGCCAGGCAGCCCTGTGAGGGCACGGCTGAGGTGTGGGGACAGCTGGTGTCATGGGTCAGTCGGCTCCCTTTCTGAAACAGCCTTATTTGAAACATGGGTAGAACATGGAAAACGAAAACCAGTCACAATCCAAAGTACTGTGCAGCCTCTGTCCGCCTCTGATGTGTGCTTCCAGGTTTGGTTCCTCCGCTTCTGTTAAGCTTACTGTTAGTAGGCCTTACTCCTGCAGCAGTGGTGAGTGGCCTCATCTTCCATTCAGAGTAATTCTTTTCCTTAAAAACAAAACAAAAACCAAATGGATTGTTTGTTTTAATAGATTCAACTCTGATTATGAACGACCCTAAGTAGAAACTCCTGTCTTAGTTTGGTAAAGAATGTCGCCAAGTAGGCAATGTAGTACTTTAAAAACATCAGCCAGATGTAGTGGCACACGCCTGTAATTCCGGCACCCTGGGAGGCAGAGGCAGATTGATCTCTTGAGTTCCAGGCCAGCCTGCTCTACAAAGCAAGTCCAGGACAGCCAGGGCTACACAGAAAAACCCTGTCTTGGTGGGGGGCGGGAGGAATTGTGGGAGCTAGATGCTTATGTGGTGGGCTCAGAGTGGTAATGAGACCAGGTGTGTGTTGTCAGCTGATCCAGTACAGAAGAGCTCAGTGTGTACGACAGTGTGGAATGACCTCAGGAAGCCTGCTGGGTTTCCGTACTTCTGTTGTTGAAATGTGTTCTGTTAGCCTGTTTGCCCTCTCAGTTTTATAAATTGCTGCAATCGACTGTTCCACAGGTGCTCTCGTCAGATGTGTCTTCAGGAACTGAGGCTGAGGAGGAAGACGACGGCATGAATGACTTGAATCATGAGGTTATGTCATTAATATGGAGTGAAGACTTACGGGTGCAGGATGTGCGAAGGCTGCTTCAGAGTGCACACCCTGTCCGGGTCAATGTGGTGCAGTACCCGGAACTCAGTGACCACGAGTTCATTGAAGAGAAGGAAAACAGGTGAACTAGTTCATCTCCTGTCCAGTTTGTTACACTTGAGACTAGTTTGTTTTACTGTAATGTTTTCACTTTTTCTTTTCTTTTTAGACATTGCATTGTGTGTGTGCACGTGTGCATGTGTGCACTGCCGTGTGTATGTGGAGGTCGGAGGACAACTTTTAGGGGTTGCTTTGTTATTTCCACTAGACTTGAGTACAATCCGACTCAAGACCAGTAGGCTCAGTGGCAAGTGCCTCCTCTCACTAAGGCATCTTGCCAGCTTGGCAGGTAGTTTTAAATGTTAACTTGGTATAATCTAGAGTTACCTGGAAGAGAACTTAAATTGAGGAATTACTTAGATCAGGTTGGTCTGTGGGAGATTGTCTTGCTTGTTAGTTGAGCTGGGAAGACCAACCTTGACTGGGTAGCACCATTTCATGGCCTGGGTTCTGCACTGTGTGAGAATAAAGAAGGCTAGCTGAGCAGAGGCAGACCCCTGGGCAGCACGGGTGCATTCTCTCCTGCTCTTGCCTGTGGATGTGCTGTGGACAGCTGTCTCCAACTCCTGTACTGCCCTCCTCCTTCTATAGTGAGCACTTAGAAGCCAGTTAAACCCTTTCCTGTCCAGGACTGCTTTTGGTCAAGGTATTTTATCACTGCCACAGAAATGAAAGTATAATACTTTCCTAAAGGGTTTATTGTTGTTTGCTTTTACATTTAAGACACCGAAAAGTAAAAGCTAAAACAAAGCAACTTATTTTGATGTTAAAAATCTACCTTTATTTTAATTTTACATCCAACCCCAGTAAACAATATATGGTTAAAAATATTTTTGGCTTTTAAGGAAATAATTGTACCCTTCTCTTCTTAAAATACAGCAGATACTTCAGAAAAGGCAAATCTAAAGAGTAATAGAATTTGTAAATGAAGTTTACACTGAAATCATTTTTCTTTGTCTTAATTCAGGAATAGATTTTGAGGCGCTTGTTTATTAATTTTTTGTGTGGTTTAAACTCCCACTGCTTGTGCTAGATATTTTTTGTTGCTCTGAAAAAAAATTCTGACAGAAACAACTTAGGAATGGAAGTTTATTTGGGAACACAGTTCAGAAGGTGTGAGGCAGGGTGATAGGAGTCCCCCACCCGTGGGACGAGTCTGAGGAAGCTGATTCTCCCTTTACTCCTTTCCCTCTTCTCTTTCCTGCCCTCCTCTGGCATCAAACTTACTAAGTTGCTTAGCTGGTCTTGATTTCCTTCTAGTCCAGGCAGGGCTTACACTGCACTTCTGATATGAGTAGCTGGAATTATAGGTGTGTGAAACAGCCCAGTTTCTTTTCTGACACTGTTTCAAGGGCAGTCACCACTCATGCTTAGCTACAGTCTATGGAGAATACTAAATTCTCTCTCCGTGTTTGCTCACTACATGTCCTCAGGTTATCACTTGAGATTGAGGGTAGAACACATAGTTCAGAACAGAGGCCGTTATAGTAAGGCTTGACACCATTGCTGGATGAACTTGAATCAATTACTTAACTTGTTGTTTTATGAGTTACTTCAGCTGTAAAAGACATACCGGTTACACCTCATCAACTGTTGGTATCAAATCAGTTCTTTTACATAACACTTAAAATGCTTTGTAGTACATAGTAAAGCTTGCTGTAGTTAGCCATTATTAAAAGTGCATTGATTCTTTCTTTTTTTGTAATCTTTTAGTACAGTGGTTCTCAACCCTCCTAATGTGGCAACCCCATAATATAGTTTCTCATGTTGCGGTGACTCCACAATCATAAAATTAGTTTTGTTGCTATTTCATAACTGTAGCTTTTCTCCTGTTATGAATCATAAGGTAAATATCTGATATGCAGATGGTCTTCGTTGACACCTGTAAAGTTATTTGAACCTCAAAGGGTTCATAACCCACAGGTTGAGAACTGTTGTTTTAGTATATCTGAAATCAGAATGTATCTTTTGGTGAGTAGATGTCAGTCTTATTGGGGGCCTTTTATTCCTTTGGTGCTTACTGGGGTCATGAAGCATCCTGTTAGTGGCCCACACATCCAGTATTAGTGCTGTTGATTTAATTTTATGATTTTTGCAAGTGAAATTGGATAAAGCATAAAACTTTCACTAAAACATTCTAAAGGATCTAGTTTCTTGGATTTGAATTTCCTGCCTTTCCTGTATTTTCTGTTGTAGTCCCAAGGAATATTAGAACATTAGAATGTTAGAATCCTCTCTAAGGAACTTGAGAAGCAGAAGGGAGAAATCAGCTTAGTGAATATTTTTTGTCTGCAGAGTGTTAGCCCTTTATCAGCCCCTGAATGTCCTTTTCTTACGCTCAAAACAGCTTTTAAAAGCATTGCTTAGTTATGAATGGCTACTTTCAAGTTTTCTGTTAGTTTTTGTCCCAAGGACAATACAGAAACAAGAGTGGCTGTTAATTTTCTAGTGTGAGCAATGGAAGCCATTTTAGCTTTGATCATACCTGGTGTGTGTTCTGGTAGCCGTTTACTTTCGTTCTTTATGTACAAAAGCACAGAGGTGGTGGCATGGTTGAGACAGTATTGGTCTGAGAACGAGAGGAGGATCTGAGTGTGCAGCTCAGCTGAAAGTCACACCAACAAGAGCTACCCAAACAATGTTCTTTGTTTTGAGCAGGCTAGTATCAGTCAGAGTAGAATCGAAGTTTCATGCTTTACTCCTCAGGAGAATTGGGTTTCATCAAAGCAAATAAGCAAAGGAAATGTTTGTCTGCTCCAGCACCCTGATGAGAGAAGAGGTGTGATAGAAACTGATCTCTGGGGGGCTTGCTTTGTGAGAACGTGTCTGTCTTAGTCCCTGTCAGAACAATTACCTCCTGTTGGATTCCAGCTGTGAACTCTGTTAACAGTTGTGGTGGTTTGTATTTTCATTATAGACTGCTCCAGTTGTGCCAGCGAACTATGGCCCTTCCAGTAGGACGAGGAATGTTTACTTTGTTTTCGTACCATCCTGTTCCAACAGAGCCATTGCCTATTCCTAAATTGAATCTGACAGGTATGTTAAGTCGTGGGCTCATTGACAAAGGACTAACTTCACACACAAGTGGGGTTTTTTGAATTATTTAATTAAAACCAAAGAAATGTTTCTCTTCCCTCATTGATTTTAAGCATTAATAGCTGCTCTAGTGGTATTGAAGCTTGATAGCAAGCTGTCTTTTCTCTCGGGTGTGACAAAATACTTCTGTCAAGCAACTAAGGGGAGAAAAAAGTCACTTTGGCTTGTGGTTTAAGAGGATATAGTCCATCTTTACAAGGAAAGCATGAGGAGAGAAAAAACTTGTGGCTGGAGCTTCCTCAGGTCTGAACAGCCAGGAGACGTGGACCCAGCTCTCAGTTCCTCCAGTCGTTCCCACGAATACCACAGTCTTCCAGAATAGCGCCACCAGCTGGGAAACAAAAAGTAGATAGAATATAGCCTTTTACTAATTTTGCATTTTAGTTCCAGCGCTTGGAGGCAGAGGCAGATGGATCGCTAGCTCCAGGCCAGTTGGGGCTACATAGTAAAACCCCATATTGTTGTGTTTTTGTTTGTTTGTTTTAACTAAGACTTGAATTTTAAATGACAAAAAGTCTAATATGTATAGTATTTGGGTTCTCTTGAGATACTCAGTATTTCTCTGTGTGTATGTTCTGCAGATAAGTCACTATTCCTCTATTCAGAATTTGTTTTCGGTGACATTTTTAGACATCTTTAAAAGAGTTGTAAGGATTTTGCTAGCTGTGTTCATCAGTCACTATGTATTTAGATGTGCATTCTGTTGCCATGGCACAGTGGGCACTGCATCAATCTTGTGAATGTTCATTGATGAGTCAAGCTAACAGAAGCCATTCTCAATATAAGGATGATTTTGTTCATGTCTGTGTATACAATATGGATCAAAACTCAAAGGAATTAATTTAATTCATATCAAACATTTAATTTATATCTCTTGTGGACCATCACAGTAGAGAGTGCTCCTAACTAGTTCCCTGGATAACTTCTCTGTAAACACTTCCTGTTTTGACACAGTATCTTGCTATGTAGCTTAGGCTGGCCTCCATCCTCCTACCATGGCCTCTTGAGTGCTGTTTACTTCCATTCTTTATGTACAAAACAGAGGTAGTGGCATGACTGAGGCAGTATTGGTCCAAGGAACGAGAGGAGGATCTGAGTGTGCTGTGCAGCTCGGCTGAAAGTCACATCAACAAGAACTACTTTCTTTCAAAAATTCCATGGCCTCTTGAATGCCAAGATCATAGGCATGTGCCACTGTATTCATTTTAAAAAAAATTGTTCAGTTGTTGTGTATGTGTGTACATGTGTTGGTGCCTGTGGAGGTGAGAGAAGAGAGCTGCAGCTGTAGGTGGTTGAGTCACCTAACATGCATGCTTGGGAACCAGCTCAGGTCTTGTAAAGAGTTGGAAGTGGTTTGAACAGTGCAGCCATCTCTCCAGCTCCAGGTTTGGCATTTTTAACAACAGAGAGTTCTGAGCTGCCGTAGTATGAGTGCTGGGAACTGAACCTGGGTCCTCTGTAAGAGTAACACGTGTTCTTAACTGTTGAGCCATCTCTCTAGCCCCCAGAAGGGTTTTGAATGGAACCTTATTTCAAAGACTTGAGTTTTAATTTTTGTAAATTCTCTTAATTCACTTCTCCTTTGTCTGCCTAGGGCGAGCCCCTCCACGAAACACAACTGTAGATCTTAATAGTGGAAACATTGATGTGCCTCCCAATATGACAAGTTGGGCCAGCTTCCATAATGGCGTGGCTGCTGGCCTGAAGATAGCCCCTGCCTCCCAGATAGACTCAGCTTGGATTGTCTACAACAAGCCAAAGCATGCCGAGTTAGCCAATGAGTACGCCGGCTTTCTCATGGCCTTGGGTCTGAATGGGCACCTTACCAAGCTGGCTACTCTGAATATCCATGACTACTTGACCAAGGTGAGAACCCGTCATCCCCGTGCCTGGCATTGTGCCACACATATCTACTGCAATATTTCCTAATTGTCCTGTTTGCCTTGTATGATTCCTGCACCTCTAGCTGTGCTCATCTCCTGGGAGGAGACAGTCTTCCGAAAGTGTATACCAGCATGTGTGCTTTGCTCAGGACCATTTACTTACCCTCCGCTGCTCTCAGGCTGCTTCTGGGGTCTGTGTGGTCTTGCTCACTTCAGCCACTTTACTGCTCTTCCATTGCTCACTCTTTGACTGTCCCACTTTCTTCTGCTTTTCCGGCTAATGTGGTCAGGTTCTTTAGAGATTCTAATAAAAAATTATTAATCTTCTTTAAATAATCTCATATACCTGTATTTGAGAATTAAACACTTTTAATTGTGGATTTGTGTGTTTTTAATTTAATGTTTTCCCTATTAGAACACTATGAGAGCTGAGACCACGTGTTAGGTGCATAGTGAAAGAGACAGGCACTGTTTTATATAGAGCTATTTGTGGGGCTGGGAAGACAGCTCAGGTAGTTCATTGCTTGTCATGCAGACATGAAGACATGAGTTTGGTTTCCAGCACTCACATAAAATGCCAGCTGTGGTGGAGCAGTCTTAGAGTTCTGGTACTGGGGTCAGAAGAAAAGAGGACTTCAGGGGCTACCCGGTTTTGAGTCCCAGGTCTCAGTGAGAGACTGTGCTTCAAAAACTAAATGGACAGCTTTCTGGGAGCAACACACACACACACAGTATTTCAAGAAAGCTACATTTGTAGTGTCTGAGTTTTATTCTGTTTGCCTTTGTAGGGCCATGAAATGACAAGCATTGGATTGCTCCTTGGTGTTTCTGCTGCGAAACTCGGCACCATGGACATGTCAGTTACCCGGCTTCTTAGCATTCACGTCCCTGCTCTCTTACCACCGACGTCCACAGAGCTTGATGTGCCTCACAATGTCCAAGTGGCTGCTGTGGTTGGCATTGGCCTTGTTTATCAGGGCACAGCTCACAGGCATACTGCGGAAGTCCTGTTGGCTGAAATAGGTATACGGTTAATAGTGCTTAATCATTACAGGTGCATATTTCCATACAGACATGTACCATGAAAAATGATGGTAAAATTGTGAAAATTAAGGAAAACAAAGAGTAGCTTTTATGAGCACAGAATAAACAGATAATTAGTTAAAAGAAAAAAAAAAGAAGGCAAAGCTCACAGGTAGTGTAGCCAGGGCTTCTGCTGCTGTGCAGGAGGTAACCCTGAGAGGGCAAGGCCACGGTGCTCTCTAAATCCTCGTTGTTTTGGTTCCTAATATCACCTGTTTTCTTCTGTTGGACAAGAACACTTGAGAAAAAGCAAGTGACTGTCTCCTGTAACTTAGGCAACACCTCGGTTACCTGCCAATCACTGCTAAACTGTAAGGGCTATACATCTTAAGATAAATGCTATGTAAACAGTTTTTACGCTTGGGTTATTTAGGGAATAATGGTGGAAGGCTGTGGGTGTTTGGTGCAGGTAGGATTTTAAATGTATTTTTGGTGTGTGGTTGGTTGAGTCCATGAGTGCAGAACCTATAGATAAGAGACCACTGTATATATGAGTGACAAAGTTTAACATAAATTACAGCAATAAATTAACAGTAAGTGGTGGATGATTATAATGCTCTCGTGAAATTAGGCATTTTATTTCTAGAGTCTGGCAGTTAATGTTTTCATTTAATGTCTACCAGCAGGGAAGCCGTGGAAAGTAAAACCCTTTGGCGACATCTGACCTTCAGAGTGTATTAGTGAATATGCATTATCCTTTAGCATGATTACATCACAGAGCTGTTGCTTCCCCACTTCTGCAAAATGAACTACCAAAAAATTGGCTTGCTGGGTCTGCCTTAGGCTGTAAATCTATGGTCTGGTTGCTCTAGTTCTGCTTCACCTGTTATGCTAGGACCCAGGCGAGAGCGTGAACTTTCTGTTGGGATGTATAGGAGAACTCAGTATGTTCCGTTCTTTGCAGTTGAGCGAGCTAAATCCCAGGCCGCATCTGGCAGGTCCACCGTTTAAAGCTGTTTCAGGGGTGGGTGCGCCGCAGATTAGTGAAGGTTGGGGCTGAAACTTTGATCTGCCACAGTGATAATAGAAGTTATTTGCAAAATTGAAACATCCTATAACAAACTATAAAGTAGCATAAGTTATAGGTCTGAAAAGTACCCAGCTCTGCTCTTTTGGGCTTGTTCATGTAGAGGCTAAGTGAACGCTGCTGTTCCACAGTGCTGTCTGATGATACAGCTGCTGTCTCAGCCACACCACACCTCTTTCACATTCTGTGTGTGGGATTTCATCTTGGATTCGTGTATTTGTTTCTTTATATAGTTATTATCATGTATATTCTGCCTTTGAAAGTGCTTCATTGTCATGCTGGGCGGCAGTGGTACATACCTTTAATACCAGCACTCAGGGAGGCAGAGGCAGGGGGATGGATGGATCTCTGTGTGTTTGAGGCCAGCCTGGTCTACAAAGAGAATCCAGAACAGCCTCAAAGAAATGAAAATGAATGAATGAATGAATGAATGAATGAATGAATGAGTGAAAATGTTTCATTGTCATAAGTATCTTTTAAAATTAATTTGATTTTGTATACCTTATGGAGTTTTCTAAAATGCCTAATTATCTTATTTTAGAACTTTTTTTTATTTAAAAAGACTTTTATTTTATTTTATGTATCTGTGGGTGTTTTGCCTGTATGTATGCCTGTGCACCATGTGCAGTGGCCCCAGAGGCCAGAAGAGGGTGTTGGAGTCTTTGGAACTTGAGTTACAGACAGTTGTTATTTGCTGCCGTGGGGTGCTGGGAATCAAATCTGTCCCTTGGAAGAGCAGCAAGTGCTCTTAACCACTGAGTCATCTCTCCAGCCCTACCTTCTTTTTTTTAAAGGTAGGTGCTCAGCTAAGGCTGGCCTTGAACTGCTTCTCCTTCCTCCACCCCCAAGTGCTGGGGTTATAGCATGTGTCATCATGTCCAGCTACTTTCAGGGGCTGTTTCTATCTCTTTGTTGTTATGCATAACTATTATACTGATTACCTTCATATACCTTTTTTTAAAATACCATTTTTTAGCTCTGAAGAATAAAATTCCAGAAGTATGAGCTTTTTTAGAGGGAAACCATTTTGTTTTCCTAAAGCAGTAGTCCTCAACCTTCCCAGTGCTCTGACCTTTTAATACAGTTCTTTATGTTGTGACCTCCACCATAAAGTTATTTTTGTTGCTGCTTCATAACTGTAATTTTTCTGCTGTTATGAATCGTAATTAAATATCTGATATGCCACCCCCAAAGGGGTTGCAAGCCACACATTGAAAACCTGCTGCCCTAAAGCATAGAGTTATTAGAATGGAATGCTTTTAAATGTATGGATTTTTATCATAGGCACACGTGATACTGAATATATTCAAATGAAAATCTAGAAACACACTTTAAAAGCAGAAAGTAAACGCACATTTTATTTATTACACATATGAATATTTTAATCACATCTAATGAATGCATTTGAAAATAACAAATAAATTCAAATGGTTAAAAATTATATTTTTAATGGAAACAATGGAAACAATTTTTTAAAAGTAATTATCCCCTTTTTTAAGTGTTGGGGTGGACTCAGTGTGGCAGTCAAGATGGTTTGCTGGAGTTGCTCTCGGGCCAGGCCCAAAGTACTTGTCTCTTTAAAAACCATAATTCTTACTTGGCTTTTTTTTTTTTTGGAAAACTGAAGTTTTCCCAGTATTTGAAAGTCATTGCTGATAGAAGCTTTAATAGGTAAATTTAAGAACCTTTTGGGAACTTTAGATAAGCTGGGACGTTGGACATGTTTTTGGACAATGTTTTTATCGTAAGCAACTGGAAAGTGAATTCCCTAAAACTTTTACAAGTTGGGATCTCTAATAGGCTGGCTTTACCTGTGTTTCTTTGTCCTCCTTAGGGCGGCCCCCTGGTCCAGAAATGGAATATTGCACTGACAGAGAGTCCTACTCCTTAGCTGCTGGCCTGGCCCTGGGCATGGTTTGCTTGGGGGTGAGTAGTCTGTCTTTCTCTGCTTTTAAAAATCAGGACATCTTTGAATTGAAAGGAACAATCTTGATACTCAGCTCTGAATGCTATCCTGTGACTTAACTGGATTCTTTTTTCAAAGTCTCCAGTTTTCAGTGGAGAAAAATTATTGTGAAATGAGACTCTAAGATTTCTTTCCCTTGACTTAGATGTAAGTGTTCCCAGATAAAATATGATATATTTTTTTCTTTAATGTGTATGAATGTTTTGCTTGCATGTATTTCTGTTCACCATGTATGTGCAGTGTCTGACGAAGCCAGAAAATGGCATTGGATCCCCTGGAACCAGCATTACAGGTAGCCATCATGTGGGTGCTAGGTATTGAACTGAGGTTTTCTGGAAGAACAGCTAGTATTCCTTACTGCTGTGCCATCTCTCCAGTCCTGAAATTTCTTGAAAAAAAGTTCAAGACATAAGATAAAGAATGGTAAACCACTCTGGAAGAAAAGAGGGCTGGAGAGGTGGATTAGTGCATCAGAGTGTTTGCTGTATAAGCATGAGAACTTGAGTTTGGATATCAGTGCACACTGAGAATGCTAGAGCGGGTTACCCAGTGTCCTCCTGTGGCTCCTGTGGCTCGTGTGGCTCCTGTGTACAGGTATACGCAGATAGCTGTACATGTGTGTATGTACCTGCATGCCCGTGGACATACAGCACACTCAGACACATATATTCATTCATGTGCATATAATGATCACGTACACAGATAGAAAAGTAGTGGAGCTGTAAGAATCTCTAGTAATTGCCAGAAATAATCATAATCCTCTTTTGTGCTCTGTTGATTACTGAGTGTTGATCCAGAGTGTCGCCATAGCAGCTCTTGCTTTGTGACAGAATACAGTGTCTGTTTGACTCATCTCTCACTCCATCCAAGAGATGTCTACAAAACTACCAAAAACATTTCATAATTACTGTTTTTTACTTGGAATGTGATTGCCTTGAAAAGCCACCAAGGCAGTATTCTAGTGAAGCTAAATGATATTCAGAATGCTGTAGTGGAATGTGTTGCTTCTTGTGTGCATTCTGAAAATCTGTCATTGTTGGCCATGTGTTTTCTCCTCCCAGCTGACACGAGCTTCAGAGGCAGGTGGTACTATGTAAAAAGCATCACACTGTGGATTGGGCTGGCATTCTGGTCCTCACTAGTGCTGAATCCAATCATTTAACTACATTAGTGTCTGTTTGTTGGTTAAGCAGCCCCATGACTGTTGAGCAGAACTGTTGTGTTTGATATACAGCCTTGTGAGTTAGTAGTAGGTAGTCTTGAGCTTGGTTAAATCGTACCTCCCTTTCCTCATTATAGTAGTAGCTATTCAGTGGTGTCTTACTTTAGTTCTGTTGGTGTGATAAAACACTGACCAAAATCACCTTAGGGGAGGACAGGGTTTATTTCTGCTTACACTTCCATTCTGGGTAGGAACTCAAGTCAGGAACCTGAGGCAGATACCATGGAGGAGTGCTGCTTGTTGGCTCACTTTCTGACTTGCTCACAGGCTCGTGCTTAGCTAGTTTTTATAACCCAGGAACACTTGCCTAGGGATGATACAACCCACACTGGGCTGGGCCTCCTACATCAATTAATAACTAAGGCAGTCAATCCCCACAGACATGTCCAAGGCCAGTCTTATCTAGACAATTCCTGTTGAGGCTTTTCTCTCAGGTGACTCAAGGCTGTGTTAAGCTAACAAAACTAACTAGAACAGATAGGGTTGCTAACTTGAGTTGACTCATTTTAAATATAGCAGAATTGCGCATGGTGCTGGGTAGGTACTCAGGAAGTTTTTGTTGTGGTTACTTGAAGAGATTATAGGTGCAGGAATCAACAAAGTACTCGGTGTTCACAGGTCAGGTTTTGAATATATGCTCCATCTTTTCCTTTACTCTGAATGTGTTACGTCTTTTGTCTTCTTCATGTATTTTATGAAATGGAAGTATGTAGCTCTGAACGTACATTATAATTTTTGTGAGAAGTAATATCTTGACATTTATTAATCTGTAGCTTTATTGTAATTGGGAGAAACATCAAAATTAAAATGCCCTCTTCTGAAGTGTGCCCGTTTGTTTATCATGATATGTGTTACCGATTTACTGCTGTAAGACTTCTTTTCATCTCAGTTATTTGATTTTTCCAGCATGGCAGCAATTTGATTGGTATGTCTGACCTTAATGTGCCTGAGCAGCTGTATCAGTACATGGTCGGAGGTCACAGGCGCTTTCAGACTGGAATGCACAGGGAGAAACATAAGTCTCCAAGCTACCAAATTAAAGTAAGTCAAGTCAGGGTAAGAGATGAGAGTGCCGTGGGCTAAGAGGTTAGCTGCAGAGTAGTGGCTTTCCTGTATCCCTGTATGTGTGCTGGTGCTATGCTCGGGCTGGTGGATTCAGAGCCTTTACACGAGTAACTTCTCTCACCAGGAAGGAGATACCATAAACGTGGATGTGACTTGTCCAGGTGCCACTCTGGCTTTGGCTATGATCTACTTAAAAACCAATAACAGGTATTAGCGCCCTCACCTGTCCCTCGTGACGTGTGGCAGGCGTCCTTTTTGTCCACAGCAGTACAGTCTTCTCATGCGTGTTTCTCCCTGGCTAGAGCGGCCTGATGTGTGTTCTCTCGGATAACAGGAGCCAAGTAGACTTTATGTAGCACTGTTTTCTTTGGTAATGCCGTCCGTCAGGTTGCTTGTTCCAATGTGTTCAGGGTGTTGGTCCCGGGATCCCTACAGAGACTAGAACCCACAAATGTTTTAGCCTCTTTAAATCATGGCATTTGTATGTAATTCATGCATGTCATCTTTCTACTTTAAATCATCTATAGATTACTTATAATATGAAATATAGATACACCATATAAATGGTTTTTAATACTGAGTTGTTTAGCGAATAAAGATTAAAAATTCAAAAGACCATCTGGGTTTAATCTAGATGTAAATTCCCCCTGCCTCTACGATTTTCAAGTGGGTATGGAAGCAGAGGATATGGAGGGCTAGCCCAAAGAACTGCCAGGTCCTTTCAGTAAATTGGCATATCCTTGTGAGTACTGTTTAAGCCAGAAATACTTAGCATTATTCTGTACTTGTTTGCCATTTATAAAAATGGCTTCTGCTTTGTTTAAAAACTTTTCTAATGACTAAACCTTCTATTTTCCTTGTCTGTCTTGAGTTATGTCGTCAGCTCACCTTAATTCTTTTAATTTGAAAACTATTCTGAGATTCATAAAACTCTACAATGTTCTAAATTCCTGTAATTAGGAAAATTCTATATAGAATTAACAGATGGTAAAAGATACTAATCTTCTATTTGGATGAATGTTATGTTAGTGTCTTCTTGATACTGGAGGTATTTCAACGAACAAAACAAAACTGAAAACATCCTGATAGAACTTATGTTATAGTAAGACATAAAAATAAATATTATGTCAGAATTTGTGATGCATTAATGGAAAAGGTGCACTTGTACTGGAGGGGAGAAATGATTTGATGTTGTGTACTTTGGATTACCTGGTCTTCTACTTGAGCAGTGACCCTCATTGATGTCCTCCATCAACAGATCTATTGCTGACTGGCTGAGAGCTCCGGATACCATGTATTTGCTGGACTTTGTGAAGCCTGAATTTCTCTTGCTTAGGGTATGGTGCTGCTTTTTATTGTCATTTTCTTGACACAAGGGAGCACAAGTTTAGTTTGAAAATCGAAGTGCTTTTCCATAAAAGGGCTTTACTTTTAACTTGGCATGTTTTTCTGATTGGCACTGTTTTTTAGAAGTTTCCAAAATAGAATTTAGGACGGCTAGGAAAGGTAACCATCTGCTTGGAATGACATATCTTGTATTATTATTCAAAACCTACTAAAAGGCAACACGTGACCAGGACCTTGTGTTGTTTTTTAGTATTGAGGATGCTATAGTACTGTTAAGGTTGGACTGAGCGTTAGCAGTTTAGTACCATGTGGCAGCCTTTAGGTTGACGTGTATGCTGAGCTATGGCTCACTCCTTTGTGATTTTTCTTTCATAGAAGAAGAAAGCCTTCTCCAAACCCTCAAAACTTTGATGGTGATAAACTGAATTTTAATATTCTTTAAGATTTAAATCTTTATTTTTAGGTATTTAGTTGATAGTCTATGTTTTTTTAAGTAGTTATTAGTTGGGAACTAATCCTTAGTTTACTTATCATTATAATTGTTAGGAAATACATGAGCTTTGCCTAATTAATTTTGTCTGTTATTCATTTTTAAGACGCTTGCTCGGTGCCTGATTTTGTGGGATGATATTTTACCAAATTCCAAGTGGGTTGACAGCAATGTTCCTCAGGTAAGTACAAATAATAAATCCTGTAACTTTAATAACATAGTGATTTCTTGCCAGTCTCTTTTTAGATTTTTTTTTTTTTTTTAACTAGTTTAAGTGTGTATGCATCTATTAGTGAGTGCTGATGCTTAAGGAGGCCTGAAGTCGTGAGCTGCCTGTAGTGGTGCTGTGAACTCAGGTCCTCTGGAAGGGCAGTACATGCCTAAAACTGCTGAGCAATCTTTGCTGCCCATATTTAGGGCTATCTTTTGAAGACAGAGGAAGTTTGATTTTAAAAGTGTATGCTTAGGGCTGAGGAGATGGCCCAGCAGCTAAAGTGCTTGCCTTGGAAGCAAGAGGACCAGAGCTGAAACTTCCAGCCTTTCCTCCTTTAGGCGGGTTCTCTTTGCAGGGTTGGTCATGGCCTGAAGCAGCCTGGTCCTGCTAGTGCTCACATTCTTCATGTGAACCCTTCTATCCCAGTCCTACTAGAACCCTGCGGCTATCTGTGACCCTCTCCAGGCTGTCTGATAGAGGCTGTAGACTGACGTGGTGGGACGAGTATTGTAGGGATCTTCTCCACTAAGCTTGCTATGCATACTCTATTTGTGTGGTTTTGCTTTCTGAAATGTTAGGGTGGGTGTGATGTTAGGGTGCCCAAATCCCGTGTAAATCCTGATGGGAAAAGGGATTCCTCTGCACAAGCTAGCTGGCAAGACTAGAAATATTGGTGACACCCTGAGTTTGATTAAGAGACCCTGCCTCGGTGGATAAGACAGAAAAAGTATCAAGGGAGATTCTGATACCAACTTCAGGCTTCTGTACCTGTAGGGACCTCAAAGTTGGCTCAGGATACCCCAAGACCAAGTTCTCAACACAGAGGTTTATGTGCTTCAGAAGGATGAAGGGCAAGGAATAAGAAACAAAGACAGGCATTAGAGGACAAGGGAAGAGGGAGAAAGGCAAGACAAAGGCAGTCCTTTGTCCTGGAGGGGCAAAGGACTGCCTCTGGATGGAGAGGAGACAGACAGGAGATAGACATGGCCTGTAGGCAAATGGCAGTTTATAAAGGTGCAAGGCAAAGCCCCGTTTTAGGATGATTTGGTTAATTTTGATTGGGCAGGTTAATTAGGATAGCCACAAGGGGGCTTTTGATTGCTGTACTTTAATACTTTGATAGCTGGACCTTGGTGGTCAGTCCCAGGAAGGGGAAGTGGCTAAATAAGGGACTAGACCTTTGTGGCTACTTTAGGACTGTAATCTAACAGTTTAGCAAGGAGGAGGGAGTGCTGGAAGGACAAGGCCCAGCAGAGCCATTTTTGCTGTGGCCGGGCAGGCTAGAGCCCCCTCAGTGCCTGTGCACACACATACAAGCGTTCACATATATGTGTCACACACCAGGTGCACATGCACATGGATAGTTTAAAATAAGGGCCAAAAACGTGTCTACTGACCACAGACTCGGCCTGCTCTTGTCCTCAGAGGCTTGAGAGTTAAATGACTAGAATACTCTAAAGAGAGCTTTTTGCTATTTTTATTCTAATTATACATTTATCTAAGATTCTGCTTATAAAATTTGAAATTTTACCATAAACACTAAATAAGCTGAGTTTATTAGTTAAAAGCAAGTAGTCTCCTTTGTAACAAGGCTTCAGAGTCAATATTGTAACTAGCTGTTGCTAAAACTGTCTTGCACTGCTTCCCCTTCATACTCTGTGGAGGGCATATTTAAAACTAAAATGTGAATGGACCGTGTATGACACCCTGTTACTGATAGATTCTGTAGTAAGCGTCTTACTGTATAAATTGTTTAATTGTACATTTATCTGCTTACCTGTTCCTTCATTTCTTTCCTTTTCTTTCTTTCTTTTTTTTTTAGATTTATTTATTTTTATGTTTACAGTGTTCTGTCTGCATGTACACCTGCATGCCAGAAGAGGGCACCAGATCTCCTTATAGATGGTTGTGAGCCACCATGTGGTTGCTGGGAATTGAACTCTGGACCTCTGGAAGAGCAGCCAGTGCTCTTAACCTCTGAGCTATCTCTTCAGCTCCCCTGTTCCGTCATTTCATTCATAACTTTTAAATACATTTTCAAGTTGTAAACAGTAATAACTTCTCCCTAATATCTCAATATGTGTAACATTAACTAGATATCAGTATTTATTTTCATTTTTCTATTCAGATAAGATTTCTGTGGGACATACAGTTAAGCATACTATTTAATAGGACGTGACTAGTGGGGAGCCTGTGGACGCAAACCTGTGCCCCATAAGCTGCTTCTCTGAGCGCCCTTCCTTCCATACTCACTGTTTTTTCCCAAATGTGGTATTCTTACTGATGAATTTGTTTTCGTGAAGTCGTCGTTTGTGTGCGCTGTCTGCTCAGCACAGTGTGTGATATCACCGAGTGTATTAATAGTCCATCCTGTAGGTTATTCTGTCGTGAACATGCCAGCTTCTTTTCTCTTGTCCTTTGCTGGGCACACAGGCAGTTTCAGCTTCCTGTCATGAGTCAGGCTTGTGTGAAGATTTTCAGTAACCAGTGCACAAATGCTGATGATGAATGTATTATGCTCTGTGGGCCGTGGGCACAATCATCCAGATAGGCAAGGTTGGAACAACCTGGAAACTGGCTCTTAGGACCTGGCTGGCCTCACTTGGAATCCTCCTGTTTCTACCCTCTGAGTGCTGGGTTCACTGGAATACTGGATTCCTCTGCCAGCTTACAGGTGGTTATAGCTCTGACTTCAAGCTATACTACAGAGCGAGAATAATAGAAACTGCATGGTATTGGAATGGATCTTTGAGCTCTCCTATTATTTTTTTTATAACTTAAGAAGACCATAGGAAGATGACAGAGGACCAGATTCTAGAGGGGTTTTCTTCCCAGTGTTGCTTTTTAGTTGATGCTCCGTGTGGCGGTGTGACCATGGCTGGAATAGCTATGTAGTGATAACCGTAGCTAACACAAAAGATTTCTATGTGCAGTGTGCTAATTCTAGGAGCTGTCAGTGCATTGACTTCCATTATGTTCATTTACAGATGAGTCACAGAGCCATCAGGCAACTCGTGTGTAGCCTTAGAGTTGGGCTTTAAAGCTCCAGGGTTCATATTTTACTAAAGACCCAAAAGAGGCCCAGTGAAGTAGCTCAGTGAGCAGGTAAAGGCTCTTGCTGCCAAGCCTGGTGGACCTGAGTTTAATTCCAGGAACTTTTACGTGGTAGGAGAGAATTGTAGTTATAAGCAGTCCTCTGACCTCTGTATATGCACCCCCACACAACAAACAGAGTAATTCAAAGAAACTTAAAAGTTCCTACTGTCAAAACAGACATAACCTATTCCTTTATGATGTTATAGGAAAGTTCTGTATGCATGAGTGTTACAGGCAGGTTATCCATGTATATATAAATCACTCACTTTGGTGTTTATTTTCTGTAAATAACAGCCATGACAGCTAGTTCGTGACATATTTGTAACTAGAACAGTGGTGTTCAGATGTAATTGCTTTCTCTCTTAACAGATTATAAGAGAAAATAGTATCTCTTTGAGTGAAATTGAATTGCCTTGCTCAGAGGACTTGAATTTGGAAACCTTGTCGTAAGTAATGTAATATGTAATAGTAACTGTGTTAGCACCTGTCAGAACAGTTTACTTACACAGGAGAAGTGCTGTTTGTTTGAGTAATTCTGAATCCCTCGTGTGGACTCTATGAGATCCTGTTTCAAAGACAAGGACATTTAGTTGTACTTTTTCTTTTTTTTTCCATTCTTTTCTTTCGGGGGTTAGAGTTGGGGGTGGGACACTTTTTAAAATTGTCCTTCCTTGTAGTATATGAAAGAATGTCATGTAAGAGTCAGGCTATATTAGCAAGAGTCACATGGTCTTCTGAAAAACTCCCTCAAAATGTGCGGATTGGTTAGGGTCCTACTTCAGCATTCTCAGAAGGCTGTAAATTAGTTCGTAAAAGATGGATATTATTTTTATTCCAGGAGGGTAGATGACAGTGGATTTTAAAGGACAGCAGCAGCATCATGTCTCCTGTAATCTGTTTTCAGGCAAGCACACGTCTACATAATCGCAGGAGCCTGCTTGTCTCTGGGTTTTCGATTTGCCGGCTCAGAAAACTTATCAGCATTTAACTGTTTGGTGAGAAAGATGTTGGCCCATGCTGCTGTGCTGTGAGTTCTTCTGTTTTACAATCAAAGCCTTAAGATGCCACTTTTAACTTTCAATTTTTCTTCTTTTTATCCAGCATAAATTTGCAAAAGATTTTATGAATTATTTATCTGCACCCAATGCTTCAGTGGTAAGTTGTTTTTTTTTTTTTTTTTCTTTCCCCTATTTGGGAATAAAGTAAACAAAGAACATTCTTAGATAAATTAGAAACTTATGAGTTATCAAATACCTTTTCTTTTTGAATTTAAAGCAAGATTTGAACCACTGCTCATCTTTATGTTTTGGTTTTAAGATACTAAGTTAGGTGAAACTATGGTTACTGTTGAGAATATATATGATTAGCCTGGGAGGATGTGTGTATTTCTAATTCTTTTGACAAGAGAATAAATGTGAGGTATATAATATCTGTGGATTGTCATACTTTATATTCTGTCATGTCACTGAATGCCAAAAATTTTCCTTAAAAAAAAAAAAAATTAGGATACAGTTGTTCTTGAGAGGTTACTTCTCTGATAACAAGGAGACTGCAAGATCTTATTTCCTTGTTAACAACACAGACCTATGCAGTAGTTTTATAATGTGAAAAAATTAGAAATGTAAGAAAATTCCCAAATTATTTCAATAAGTTATGCCATATCCATATGGTCTTACATATTGGATGTAAGTTATAAACTTACGCTGTATAACTTTTTGTGTGTGTGTGAGAATTGCTTATAACTTATTAAAAGGTTAGCATGTGTAGTAGTATCTGAATTTCCTTGATAAATATGTATGTATGTACAGGAAGAATTTCTGAGAGAAAGATGACTTGGGTTAATGTCAGTTTTCAATAGGTGGTGCATTGAATACTTTATGATGCGACATTCTTAAACTGTCTACATTGAATTTCTGTTTCATAACCAGAGTATTTGTTTTTGTAGATTTAGTTTTAAAGTTACAAACATTTGTAATTTTCCAGTGTTAGATATTTTGGTAATTAAGAAACGTAATAAAAATTAACACAAAGTCATGTTTCTGTGTCACCAGACAGGACCCTACAACCTTGAAACCTGCCTGAGTGTTGTCCTGCTGTCTCTTGCCATGGTGATGGCTGGCTCTGGGAACCTGAAGGTATTGCAGCTCTGTCGCTTCCTGCATATGAAGACGGGTGGAGAGATGAACTATGGCTTCCACTTGGCCCACCACATGGCTCTGGGCCTCCTGTTTTTGGGAGGAGGAAGGTAATGAGTATGTTTTGTTTTGTTTGTTACTTAACTAAAAAGAGTACATGAATGAGATCTATAAAAGTGATGTTTTTTTTTTTTCACTTTTAAAAGTACCTATTTCTGTTGTTGGCCTCTTTCATACAAATCTTGGAATTTGTTATTTTCCATAGTAAATGACATGATGAAACGTTAATTAGAACTGCACTGACTGTACCAGTTGCAGAGGGTTGACTTTCCTGCCATATTGTGGCTTTTAACTGTGGCTTCACTTACCTGATGTCTGTGACCTTGGCCAACTGCTCTAATTTCTGAAAGTTACGTAGGCTTATTTTCCCCTTTCCAGAAGTATATAAAACAAAGATTTAAAAGTTAGAGATTGTGAGCAAGGTGTGTATTTTCTCCCTGTGTGACAGTTGCTTCCTAATAATTGAGGATTATGAATTAAAGGCTGGGTGCAGCTCAATCAGAAAGCACTTACCTGTCTTGTGCAGGGCCCAACCCTTGAATTTCTGGCACAACAATAAAAGTTAAAGAGCCAACAAGAATAGGTAAAGGAATGTTAACTATAATTTTTTTTTTGTATTTTATGATTTTTGAAGTTATTTCCTTTCAAATAAGTGCCTGCAGCTCATGTGTGCCCACAGTCCCATCTACATGCCGCATGCGTGACTGTTTGCTAGTCTTTCAGCTGAATTACTTTTCTTCATCTCTGCTTCTGCCTTTATTTTTGATTATGTGTTTGTGTGTCTGTGTTTGTGTAAGGGTTTATGCACGTGAGTACAGGTCCCCTGGAACTTGAGTCGCAGGCAATTGTGCGCCGCCTAACATGGATGCTGAGAACCAAACTTGGATCCTTAGGAAGAGCAGCTCACACTCTTAACCAGTGAGCCATCTCTTTAGCCCCGGCATTGGAATTTAGTGATTGTTTTATTTTTAAATGTTTTATTTTAAATCTTATATTTATTTTTAAATGTAAGATTGATGTTTATAACAGCCTGCACTGTTACATTTAATCCACATGTTTCTAATGTTAATATATGGGTCTTCATCTTTGAATTTTGATATATCAAGATGATAAAGTACTTCAGCATTTTAACATTTGCAGAGTGTTGCTTCTGTTTTGAATAGTAGTCAACCTAGAAATGATGCAAGGACTAACTGTAAAGAGATGTACCCCCAAGGATACAAACTTCGTTTATTGTGACATCTTACCAGTTACGCGTGGTTACAGAACCCCACTCTTCTGACCCAAGAATCCTTGCGGATATATATGAGCAGGGAAATTAGTAATGTGTGTCCCACTGCCTTTGCCCTGCAGGTACTCTCTGAGCACATCCAACTCATCCATTGCTGCTCTCCTCTGCGCCCTTTACCCACACTTCCCTGCCCACAGCACTGACAACCGGTGAGTTCGTGCATTGCTCAGTCTCTTTTCTGAGTGCTCCAGGGGAATCAGTCCACTTTGCTTTCATGGCCTGTTGCTATGTTTTTGAATTTACCTTCCTGGCTGAATCATTTAAGTGTCTCTTTCAAAATGTTAGACTAGAAGAAAATGCTAGACATCTAATGCCTGGTCATTGTCACATCTGTTAAACTTGTACACCCAGATGTTGGCCAGATAAAGTTATCTTTAGGTACAAATTTACCATACAAACTGTAGTAGCCAAGGGAAGTACAAAGGGATTTTTTTTTCCGGTAAATTATTAAATTCAAAGAAAAAACTTAATCTGACTTAGTGGCAATGTGAAATCCTTCTTTTACACATTTGCTGAGAAGTTCTGTGTAAATGCCATCAATGAGAGATAAAAATAGAGATCTATAAAAAATAAAACAGACAATTTAAAGCAGTCACCCTAAGTCAAATAAAGTGAGCGTTATAGAACATTTAGAGAGCATCGTAGAGCATAAAGAACGACTTCCTTTTCCAGGGAAGTGTCCAGGATAAGGACCTCTTTAGTGCATCGGGAAAGGGATGAATGACACATAGGCAGCAGGCAGTACTAAGTGATAGCGCTCTCTGTTGTCTGCCCACATGAAAGTCAGCAGCATTCTTTGTCTAGTAGTGAAGGGTCAGGAGCCCTTGCCGCCACTCAAGCCATCACTTTCCTCTAGTGTCAAGTTTAACCAGTGACAGGAAAGGCTGCTCTTTTCCTGATCTTTACTTTCAGATCAGGAAAGTAGCCTGATCTGAAATCCAAACTCTGCTAGGCTAGGTAGAACATGAGCACATTGTTAACTTATCTACAGCTCTGACATGTGGCCTCCAGCCTGTCGTTTAGAATGTCTTGGTGGGTTGTTATAGTAAGTTACTAGGTCATTACAGTGGAGTGCTTGCTTATGTCCCTCATTCCCTCCCTCTCTTCTTTTATTCTAAACAAGGTTTTACTATGTATTCAAAGTTTGCATGGAACTAGCTATGTGACCGAGGCTGACTTTGAACCTGTAATCTTCTATTTGGAAGATTATAGGCATGCACCACCGTACCTATCTTAAAGCACTTTGGTGATAAACACCAAGAGTCTGTGTGTAGTTCTGTGGACGTGGCATAGTGGCAGAGTGCCTGCTTAGCCTGTGTAGGGCCCAGTATCCAGTACCCAGCGCTCCCTCCTCCTCCTCTTTTAGATATAACTAATAGCAGTGATTTCCCCCCTTTCCGTTTTATTTTTCATACACTTACAGTGGTGAATGGATTTGACTGAGAAGAGGGACGGTTGTTTTTCTTTAATCACTAGTTTTTCTAAATTGTGTGCGCATGTGTACACCTGTCCTGCATGTGCATTTGTAGGCTGTAGGTTGACGTTGATTATCTTTGTCTGTCACTCTATGATTTACTTTTTGGGGTAGGGTTCCTACTGGATCTAGTGCTTGAATGGCTGGCTGCCAAGCCCCTGGGACCCCATGATCCGCTTGTCTTCACTCCGATTGGATCTAGGGATCCAAATTCAAGTCTTCACACTTTACCACCCCAGCGAGTGAGTCATCTCCTCGGCCCTGTTTTTTATTGTAATATCATTTCATTACTCTTTAATGGGATCTAAAAATTAAATGTTTATGTTTACATTCTAAAACATAAATTGTAAAGTTAAAATTTTTACTGTGAAGATTCAAAAGCAAATATATACACACATTGCCGCTCTCCCACAGCGGTGTTTTACCGGGTGGTGTGTGTGCTAGTTTGTACGCAGGGATGTGTACATACGGGCATTGTTTTGTGGAGAACTGACTGGTGTCCTTTATTCCCTCCCAACCCTGGAGGAAAAAGCCAGCAGCTACAGCATGTCCCCGAGAAAGGAGGCAAAAGATGTCTTGTGTGGAGCACCCACCAGTTGAACGAGACTGTTGTTTTGAATCAGCGTTCAGGCCACCATTAGTAAATATTTTCCTGTTAGGACAATTTTTGCTTTCTTGTAAAACTTTTTACCTGTGAAATCAGATGAAGAACAAAGATTACATAAGTAGTTTCTTAGATTTCTCCATATACTTTGGGGTCTCCAAGATGGCTCAGTAGGTAAAGGTGCTTGCCAGAATTTGACCTCTGGTACCGGATGGTGGAAGGAAAGAATGAACCTCTTAAGTTGTCCTCAGTCCTTTGCATATTATGTATCACGCGCTTACACACACACACTAAATAAGTGTAATAAAATTTAAACTAGAATTGCTCTGTACTTCTAATTGAATTTGTCATCTTCGTTTCAGATTTTTCATAGGAAGGTCTTTGCCACTCGAGCCTGTCAGCAGCAGCTGTTGTCAGGCTCCTGGTCTTGTCACTTCTGTGTTTTCTGTGCACAGGTATCATCTCCAGGCCCTCCGTCACCTCTATGTGCTGGCTGCAGAACCAAGGCTCCTGGTCCCCGTGGATGTGGATACAAACACGCCCTGCTATGCCCTGATAGAAGTCACTTACAAGGTAACTAACTGTCCCTGTCACCTTTGCAGGTCAGATTATTTCAGAAGCATTTTGGCAAAAGGTGATAATACTAAGTGAGCAGTGATGGAAGCTGAAGCTTCCTCGGTTGCTGCTCTCTGCCAGGCTCTACAAGCTTGTTCTTGTATTTGGGTGTAACTTTTGGTATCATCAGCTGTTTCTTTGTCCTTAGAGCTGACCATTGGGAAATGTTCCTGCTAACTTTATATGGCTAGTTACAGTGTTCTGCAAAGTGAGTTAGGTTAAAATGATTTTTAAGCTGGATGAGGTGGCACATGCCTGTAATCCCAGCACTTGAGGAGGCTAAGGCAGGCCAATCTCTGAGGTTGAGGCCAGCCTGGTTTACTAAACGATTCCAGGACAGCAAAGGCTACAGAGAAACCCTGCCTTGAAAAACATACAAACAAACAAATAAAGAATCTTAAAGTTTGGTTTTGTTGAACATTTGAAATCACCAAATTGTGCATTTGAGTGATCTTTCATTGAGATTCACACATAGATTATAAATCATGTAGTCTGTACCAAATTATTAAATACTTCTGTTTGTCAAAATGTGCTATACTTAGAGATGTAAAAGTGAGGTGATGATGTCATATTCCTGAAGGAAATGCATGGCCAAGCATGAGTGCAGTGATGGCATTTGCTTATTGGAGGGGTGTGTGGCATGCTAGAGTGCTCTGTCTTGCTGAAGAGTTTGGGGCAACTGTTGGGGTGGAGACGGGGTGTGAAATGGGCTTGTTCTCAGCATATGTATAAATGCATGCTGTAGAAGCACAGCCCTTCAGTATTGCTGCGCAGTGAAGGGCAAGCCTTTAGGGTGTTGAGGGTGGTGAAGGCTCTGTAAGAGAATGTAGGCTTGAGTCCTTTAAGGTTTGAGTATTAGGCTATAGCTATAGCTCAGTCTAGCACTGCCAAGCACAAAGACTGTAGTGGGGTTGTGCTGTTTCATATTATGCACAGAGTGGCCGTTTGTGCAACGCTGGCTGTGTTTTACCTTTGTAAAGAGCACTCAGTGGTATGAACAGACCAAAGAAGAACTGATGGCGCCAACCCTTCTTCCAGAACTTCATCTTTTAAAGCAGGTAAGTTGATGTGATCGTGTGGTCTACCCAGAGGGTACATTGAACCAGAATTGCATAGCTATTGAGGACCCTCTACTTAAGAAAATAGGAAGGCAGCCTCAGCAGGAGGAATGTTTATGGAGGGTAGAGGTGGTCTTGACTTAGAGATTTTTCTGATAGTTTATGTCCTTTCAGAACATGGTTCACAAGCAGTTGGATCTTGCTAACCTATAGGTGGCTCATTGTAGCTGAGTCACAATTTTCTCTCAGAAGTATGTTCACTTTGCCAGCTTTAAGTGGTTATGTTTATATTTGTCCCTGCAGATGAAAGTTAAAGGGCCAAGGTACTGGGAGCTGCTCATAGATTTAAGCAAGGGAGAACAGCACTTGAAGTAAGTATGCGGAGCTGTCACTTGTGCATTTCCAGCAGTGCTCAGACGTCTACAGGGAGGGCAGAGTCTAGAGCAGTATCTGCTTACCGTTTGCCACTCTGTGCTCTCACAAAGTTGAACAAATGTAGTTTCTCAGTAATGGGATTTTCTGTGGGTACAGCAAGGTTTGGTGTAAAGGAGACTTTATAACATCTGATGCTTGTCAGACATCTTCCGGTGCTTCCTTTTACTATTGCTAAAAATAACAAGACTGGAAGATTGCTTTCAGGTAGAATATTATGCAAGGAATTACTTAGCATGTTAATAATGTTATACCTTGGGAAGTGTATGAAATGTTTAAATTCATAGAAAGTTTCGATAAACATATAAAGTTTCATAGTCTGGTCCCAGTTGTATCTTCTGATTCTCTAGAAGCTAATTTCTGTTTGTTCTTAGATTAATTATTATTTTCTTTCTATGGCAAACTAGATCTTCAGTGCTTTAAGACACTCTAGTATCTTAGGCATATTGCTAAGGACACAGCAACTAGCAGTGTTAGATAAGATCCTGAGAAGCTCAATCTTGAGCAGGTACAGTCCCTTCTCAGTGAACAAATTCATGAATCTCGATACCACAGAAAAGTGGGGATGCATCTTCTCCTCACCTATGTGCAATCCGTCATCCCTTGTATAGTGAACAGTCCTGTCAGAGATTGGAGATAACTTCTTCCTCTGTCAGAGTGGCCCTGGAAGACACTAGCTTTAGCTGAGAACTACCAACAATACTCTGATGAACTCATCTTTTCTCATTTTTTCTTTCAGGTCTATTCTCTCCAAGGATGGAGTTTTATATGTAAAGCTCAGAGCAGGCCAGCTCTCCTACAAAGAAGATCCAATGGGGTGGCAGAGTTTGTTGGCACAGACTGTTTCTAACAGGAACTCGGAAGCCCGGTCTTTCAAGGTAGGGTTTGCATTTCGCTTAGCATCTTTTCTTGCTGTAGGTGGTAAAGCTGAGTAGACCATCATTTCCGTTGCTTTCTTATGTGGCACCCATAATAAAATAAGGACGTTTTGCTAGTATTCTATATAACACTTGTATTTAGTCCCATCTGTAACACACCTCTACACTATAAGGAATATTTGTTATAATTTTTTTACTTACTAGTAGTCCCTCAAATACAGAATTTTGTAACTTGTTAATTATTCTTTTCCTCCCTCCCGCCCACTCTCCTTCCTTTTGGCAGGGTTTTAGTGTGTTGACCAGTTTGGCAGCACCTCTCCCAGCTCCCTTACTCTTTATCTGTTTTGCAGTGCTAGAGACTGAACCAGGGCTTTATGCTTTCGCATGGTTCTGCCACTGAGCTGTAACCCCAGGCCTGGTCTCAAGTTGTGGTTCGCTTGCCTCAGTCTCCTGAGTGCTGGGTTATAGGCACACACCATTGTGCTTGGCTATGCTCTGTTGAGGGGAAATCCATTTTTGAGATAGGGTCTCCTCAGATTGCTGTGTAGTTGACCCTCCTTTTTTTGTTTGTTTGTTTTTCAAGACAGGGTTTCTTGTAGCCTTGGCTGCCCTGGAACTTGCTCTGTAGATCAGGCTGGCCTCGAACTCACAAAGATCAGTTGGTGTGCCTATGTCTCCAGAGTGCTGGGACTAAAGGTCTGCACCACCACTGCTCGGCTGGGAAATCCATTTTTAAGCCAAACTTGTCTTTAATCTTGATGAAAAGGAAATGATAACAACTTGAGTCTTGATTTTTAGTTTATTTCCTAGTATTCAGCTACCACTACAGTAATGTTTAAAATGAAGAAATACTTAAAAGTGTAAGTTAAAGCTCATTACTGTGAAAGGAATCAGTGGATATTCTGTATTCTAGAATTCATTTCCATCATTAGAAATGTGTCCTGTAGTCTGGCATTAAACTTGACAATTTTATCTCAGCCTTCAGAGTTTCAGGGGCAGATGTTTGGCGAGGATCCTCATGGTACCTGGGACTTAGGCCACAATAGCAAAGATGTGTCAGCTTAGCAGCCACAGGGTGGGGACAGAACTCAGCTTTCTTTATTGGCAAGTAAGGAGTTAGCAGTTTATTAGTTCAATTACATGTGATCCGAAGATCAGTCAGTTGACAATAAGCTTTCTCATAGTTATCTGGATATAAATCTATAAAAGTTCCTAGCCTTGATATCAAGTTCTTGGTGGCAGTCAAAAGATTACCATTGGGATATTTTGATTTTTTTTTTTTTTTTTTTTTTTTTTTTGCTTACGTGTAGCTGAAATTAGCACTATTTCTTTTTCTAAAAATTAGAGCATATATGAAAAGCTAGTCCCGTTTATGGATAAGTTTCAACTTAATTTTGTATACAGAAAATATAAAAAATACAAGATAGCCCAGTGTCCTGCCTACTGGGAGTTTAAAATAGGAACCTAAATTCAGTCTTGAATATTAAGCACTATACTGAGGTTTTTTTTTCTTACTAATTTTTCTTATTGTAGTAAAATACACAAAACACAAAAAAATTAAAATTAGTGCCTTAGCTGTTTTTAAAGTAAAATGTTTTAAAATGATAATTAGATACAATGTTGATCTGTAACCATCACTAGAACGATTAGAACCTGCAGAATTAAGCTGTCCTATTAAGGCTAATTCCTCAGCAAGCCCCAGGCAGCTTCCCCCTTTGCCTTTTTGTCTGTGTGATTCTCGTTCCTCTTAGGACCTCATACATAAGGATCTAGTGATTGTCCTCTTTTGGCAGCTTACTTGAGTGAGACTGCTTTTTTCCTACTCTTCCATATCATTTGTGCTTTTGGTTTTTTTGTTTGTTTGTTTTTTGAGGCAGGATTTTTCTTTGTAGACAAGGCTGTCTTCGAACTCAGAGATCCACCTGCCTCTACTTCCTGAGTGCTGGGACTAAAGGGGTCCAACACCACTGCCTGGCTGAGTATTTGTATTTTTTTAATTAAGTGTTTTTTTTTTTTTTGTATTAGTAACAGTTTATTTACTTTATATCCCAGCTGTAGTCCTCTCCTCTCTCCTTCATTCCCTCCCAATCTTATCATCCCTCCCTCATCTCCTCCCATGCCCCTCTCTAAGTCCACTTATAGGGAAGGTCCTCCTCCCCTTCCATCTGACCCTAGCTTATCAGGACTGGCTGCAGTGTCCTCCTTTGTGGCCTGGTAAGGCTGCTCCTCCTTTGGGGGATTGGGGGTGGGAGAGAGGTCAAAGAGCCAGCCATGGAGTTCACGTCAGAAATAGTTCCTGTTCCCCTTAACTCGGGAACCCACTTGGATACTGAGCTGCCATGGGCTACATCTGAGCAGGGGTTCTAGGCATGCATGGTCCTTGGTTGGAGAAACAGTCTCAGAAAAGACCCCTATGCTATGCCCAGATATGTTTGGTCCTGTCCTCACCAGGTCATACTGACTCCCCCTTCTTTCATATGTCCCTGCACTCTGCCCAAGGTTTAGTTATGAGTCCCAGCATCTGCTTTGATACACTGCTAGGTAGAGTCTTACCTTCTTTAGATATACAGATTTTAGCATGTTTATCCTATCTTATAGGTCTAGTATCAACTTATAAATGAGTGTATACCATGTGTGTCTTTCTACTTCTGGGATACCTCACTCAGGATGATCTCTTCTAGATCCCACCATTTGCCTGCAAATTTCATGATTTCCTTGTTTTTAACTGCTGAGTAGTATTCTATTGTAAACAGACAATTCTCTGTAGAGGAATATGGAATGGCAGAGAAACACTTAAAGAAATGCTCAATGTCCTTAGCCGTCAGGGAGATGCAAATCAAAACAACCGTGAGATTTCACCTGACACCCATCAGAATGGCTAAGCTCAAAAACTCAAGTGATAACACATGCTGCAGAGGATGTGGAGAAAGGGGAACCCTCCTCCATTGCTGGTGGGAATGTAAACTTGTACAACCACTCTGGAAATCAATCTGGCGCTTTCTCAGACAATTAGGAATAGTGCTACCTCAAGATCCAGCTATACCACTCCTAGGCATATATCCAGAAGATGCTCAAGTACACAACAAGGACATTTGCTCAACCATGTTTGTAGCAGCTTTTTTTGTAATAGCCAGAATGTGGAAACAACCCAGATGTTCCTTCACAGAGGAGTATTTGTGTTTTTAAGCAGGCTTTTTAGTTAGACATTGAGAGAGGGAGGAAAGCCTTTTCTGAGTGTTTTTATAACAAAAAAGAAATGTCTATTATTGGCTTTTTGGTAAATCCGAACTTTATATTAGCTTGTGCAAAAGCTTCTTGCAACTTCCTAGTAGAACAGGGTGACAAAGCTGTGGTTTGTTTTGTCTTGTGGGTCATGTGTGAGAGGAGGGGAGAGTTCCTACAACTACAGGCCTTACAGTGTGAGCAGAAAGGGAAGCAGCGGTTGGTTATCTCCCGTAAAGTGTGGATATTCCTTTTTAGCCAGAAACGATTTCATCATTCACTTCTGATCCAGCACTTCTGTCGTTTGCTGAATATTTCTGCAAGCCAACTGTGAACATGGGTCAAGTAAGTATGATGGTTTCCTGGGCCTCAGGGCAAGACTCTAGTAGCTCTATAGGTAGAAAGCCAGAGTCACCTGTAAAATTCATGTATGCCTTTGAGAGTGGTGAGATCCTTCACAGGTGTTAGAGATCGATGACTAAAGCCTGTGCCTCCTGTTGCCACCACCCCTCCTTCCTCTCCAAAGCCCACCTGCTGGATTTGATTCTTGATTTGGATTCTCCGTGCTTACCTGGGTGCTGTTTATCCCTGTGTCTTTGTTGATGCTACACTGCCTCTCTGGATCCCACCACTCCAACTGACTGAAGGCTTGTCTCTGTGTGTTCGCGCAGCTTTTTTTTTTTCGTAACCCCAGGTTGAGCATTATTCTCCCAGATCATGTACTGCTGCCTCACCATCCTTTTTGGATTTTGATTGATATTATAATGCCGCGTGGACTGTGACTTTTTTTATGACTGTTTTTTACTATTATCATAGAGCTTCAGAGTGGGCTGCACTCGCTGTTATAAGTAGTTGTTTCTTGAGCTGATTTTGTAATATGCTTTGACGTGCTGCATAGTATGTGTGCTTTTCCACAGAAACAGGAGATCCTGGACCTCTTTTCTTCAGTACTGTATGAGTGTGTTACTCAGGAGACCCCAGAGATGTTGCCTGCCTACATCGCAATGGATCAGGTATGATTCCGAAATTGTGTTTTGATGCAGTTGATCCTGTATTTCAAATGTCCTACTTCACCTTCACGGTGTGAAAGTTCCCATACATTCAGTTTTCAGTTTCTTGTTTGCTTTGAGACATCAGGAAACCATTCCCAGTTGACAGCTCTATGCTGATGTCCAGAGGCTGAACTTGGTGCTAGCAGGATGCTCTCTGGAAGGCTGCCTTCCTCTTAGGAGTCCCATGTCCCTTTCTGTCTTGTCCTGGCTTGGGGAGGGAGAGATCATTTCCTCTGTTGCCTCCTTTTTGGAAAGCTTCATGGGAAGGCCACACATCAGCAGTAGGTGAGTCACATGTGCCCTGGTGAGTGTCTGGGTGTAAAATCCCACCTCCTTGGAAAGACTGCAGGCCGTTTAGAACTGGGAGTTTAGGGAGATGGTGTCTATTTTGATCCTCTGGATATTTTGTAAGTATGTGACAGGGACATGTAGAACGTGATGCCTACGAGTGTTCCTACAGCACTGATCTTCTCGTCAGGGTTGATATGAGGCAGCTGTCTCACAGCCTCAGAGTTTTTCGTACCCAAGCTTGCAGTTAAGCTCAGTCAGGAGTTTCCTAACCTGGATAAATTATTTGGGGACTCTTAGAGTACACATCTTCAAATCCTATTCTATATCTACTAAGTTGGAATCTAGGGGCAAGATCCAGAACCTACAGTTTTAAAAATTCCTCAGTAAATATGAAGAGCATGTAGACTGGCATTTGGGACTCTGTCTCAAGCCAGAGAAATAATCTTTGATGGTAAAAATACTCTTGTGGATAGCTGAGTGGGAAAGCATTTAGGCAGGAGATAATTCCCCTAGGCATGAAAATCACAGTATGTAAAGTAGTATTCTGCATTCCAGCAGAAGCACAGGGCCAGAATGTGTTACTGTGTGGAAGCCATCTCTTCTCGGTTGCAGAGTGATCGCGGCACTGTGCTGGCACTCTGCTGTCTCAACTTAACAGCCGTTAAGTTGTGCTTTTTGGTTGCTGGTTAAATGTTCTCTTCCTTTCAAAACCTCTGGGAACTGCCACCCCTTCACCATCTAAAACATGGATGAATGTCTCCTCTGCTGCTAGCCATGGTACCTTTCTAGGTGATTCTTATCATCAGTGTGATCAGTGGTTAGCCCTCTGCCCTACTGGGATTCCTGTCTGATCCCTGCTTTGTCATTGTTCCTGAACTTATTCCCCAGAGATATATACACCAGTGTGTATGGGTGTGGGTGTGGGGGGTGTCCTCTTCTTTATTCAGGGTTGTTGCTTTTACTGGGAAGTTGCCCTCGTGTTGAAGAAAATGAGACACACCTGGGAGGGCTTCTTAGTATAGTCAGCTGTATTTCAACACCCCCTGGATCTCCATAGCCTCTTGCTGATTTTGTCAGCCGTATTTGGAATATACCCTAGAATGCAACACAGAAAACAATATGGTTAGAACACCTTACCATTTCATTAAACAGACTGTTCTTTCTGTTTCTTTGCACAGGCTATAAGAAGTCTTAAAAAGAGAGACATGTCAGACACATCTGCTCTTTGGCAGATAAAGTTGATATTAGAGTTTTTCAGTTCACGAAGCCACCAGGAAAGGCAGCAGAACCAGCCGAAGCGAGGGCTCTTCATGAGCTCCGAGTTCCTGCCTGTGGTGAAGTGCACTATTGATGCCACCCTGGACCAGTGGCTGCGAGGTATGGTGGCACCATGCCCTTGTGCTTGTAGGTACACTTGACCCGGCCTTTCTGTTCTGACAGTTTCTGTTGGCAAACAAGGTACACCTGGGCATACTCCATGGCTTGACTGTTTCCAGTTTGATGGGTCAGAGTCAGGGCATGTACTTCAGGGCTTTTAAGGTGAGGGAGCCAGTGAGGTCCTTGGGCATCCTGTGGCTGTGGCTCTGCCAGGAGAAGTGCTAACTTCAGAAAGAAGAGAACTGTAAAGTTACTCACGACTCCTAGATGTGATGCTGACTCATATGAGTGACAGGATTGTGGGACTACAATTGATTGTACCCAAGGTTGACTTTCTGCAATCAGTTCCTGGATCTTTATGTTCCTTTTAGTTCATTCAAATCCTCGCAGCAAATATACCTGGCAGTGACATATTTGAGTGTATGCAAACCCTAGTTAGAGTGGTTAACAGTTCTTGGTCTGTTATTTAAGTTGTCCTGCTGGGACACTGCGAAAAAGTTTCTGACAAAAAAGACAATCAGACTGTAAGGAGGCACTGATCTTAGATTTACCAGGTGCTTCTGGGTAGCATTGAAATGGTTTTGTTAGGCATTTTAATCCCCATCTTTTATTTATTTATTTTTGTGAAAATTTTATATAGTAAATGTCAATACTTTCTTTCCACTGAGTTTGGTATTTCAACACCTGTAGAGGGCCTTAGCTATTGAGACTATGTCATTAAGTATTGGCAAATTCTCTGATGGCAAACACCTTAGAATATAAAAATTTGGCAGTGATGGGGCGCTCTTAGAACAGTGACTTGGTTGGTTTGTTGTTCTTCAGGACACTTGGTGAATTCAGTTTTTCAGACATGTTTATCTCTTTTAATTGTTCTCTCTAGTTTTCTTTTTTGGTTCAAATATCTTGTGTCTGTAACATAAGACTACACTGAGCTTGGTTTAAATAATAACAGTAAGCTTGGTATTACTGGAGGTGCACAGGAATGGAGACTCATTAATTGCTGGGGCTTCAACTTTTAACCCCTGAAGCTCCATTTGCTATCCTCTGTGTAGTCACTTTGTCCTCCCCATGCTACGAAAACAACCAACAATTCCTTTCCTTCAGAGTTTCATGGTGCTCAGAGAGAGAAAGTTGTTGCTTTTAGGAACTGTGCCATGAAGATAAGAGTCATTCTTGCCCAGAAGCAGATGTAGTGCTGAGCATCTTGATTGTGGCCAGGCTGCATCTCACCCCATTCTTCAGTCTACCCCCCATCCCACAGTGTCTTTACTGAATGGCCTAGGGCACTTGTCCTCAGCTGTGTCTGAGGACAGCATTGCCTCAGTTGCCCTCAGCCAGTGATTCTCAAAGCATGGCCCCTACACAGCAGCAGTGCTTGCACTCTGTTACGAATGCATTTTCCTGCCTGCGCTCCAGACACATCCCACCAGAAGCACTCTGGTGGACACTGGAATTTGATCATCTCCAGCCAACAATAAGTAGACTTTAGTCCTGGGCTGAAGTCAGTCTCCTCAAATATTACATTGGAAGAAAAGATGTGATAGTGGGTATTTGTAATCATATTTCCTCTCCTCCTCAGAATTCTACACTGGGCAGAATCAGCCTCTGAACCTGTGTGGCACTGCACAGTTTGTGCCAAGGGCTATTACTTGATGAAAAAGTAATAAAAGTGACCATTCCCATTCCTCTCATCTCTGTTCTCACAGCTGGAGGTGATGCGTGTGTGCACGCCTACCTCAGCGGGCAGCCTGTTGAGAAGTCTCAGTTAAGCATGCTGGCCTGCTTCCTTGTCTACCACTCTGTGCCAGCTCCTCGACACTTGCCACCTCTGGGACTGGAAGGTAATCCCATCTCAGCCTCTGTTCAGAACTGGTCCCACTAGTGTGCAGTCAGGGAGAAATTCCCGTGAGTCACCTTCTAATGCAGTGCTCATCTTTGTTCATACTTTGTGTTTGTTGAGAATGCTTTCTGAAAACAGAGCAAACCATCTACTTTTACTTCTAAAAGAGAAAAGAGTTTTTCAGCGTAGGACTATAAACTCAGTGTGTATGTTATTCTGTATATGAATAGCATCCGTATATTTAAGTTATGTGGATTGGGCATGGTAGTCAAGCATTCTACCACTGAGCTATATTTATAGAACCTATTTGATTTTTCTTAAAATTTTTTTAGGATTTCCTAGTTTTTAAAAATTGTATATAGTCCCAGTTTCTGTTTCCCTAAAACGTCAAAGCTATAGGTGTAATTTGGTATATATTTACAAGTTTACATTTGGAAGTGTAAAGAGTAAGTGCTAATTGCCATATGGAATCAGGCACAGAGTTTGTAAAACAGCTTGATTTATTCATTATTGGGGATGAAAAATATTTTTTCAGAAGGGGAAGATTGTTCTGTTAATACTTAAATCACTTTTAGCTTTGACATTACTGGTTTATGTGATTTAAGAAACCTCAGAGAAAAATGTACTATAAACAGACTTCTAGTTATGGCTATGAGGAATTGCTTGTGGCCTTTCCTATGGACATAAATACAAAAGTTAGACAAATGCATAAAATCGTAGTTAAAGGTTTGGTGTTACCCTTGCTGGCTGCATTGTTTGGGAGTTTTTCATTTGTGGTAGTATTTCCCAAAAGACTCCTTAAATTGTGGGAGGGTGGTTGAGGGTACAGAAGTTTGCAAGATGGCTATCAGAGAGGAACAAGATATGCAGAAAAATGCCAGAGGAGGCCTTTTGGTTTCAAAAGAGTTACTGGCCAAAAAGTTGCATATAAAGGTATTCCCTGGAGGGAAGAGCTTGCAAGTGGATTAGAGGACAACCTGCCATTTGTTTACATGAGCCCAAGACTAGTGCTTCTCATTAGGATTCAGGAGGGTATGGCCTCAGTCATGGGAAGTAAATTGTCTCTGGTCTGTGTAGTTTTGTGGTCACACCTTACAAATCTCAAAGGAGCAACAGAAGTTGTGACCTGTGATCATAACTGCATGTTTTCTTGAAATTAACTGTACCCGGATCAAAGCTCAGTAGCTCAAGAACACAGAAACACCCAGCAGTCAAGTGGGTGAAATTATGTAGCATACAATTAAAAACAGCCCCCCAGAAAGGCATGGTGGCCCACACCTGTAATCTAAGCACACGGAAAGCAGGAATTCCGTGGAGGGGAAGGAGTTCAAGGTCATCCTTGGCTTAGAGTGAGTTCCCAGCTGGCCTTGGCCCACACAGGACCCTGTCACAGAAAAAAAAATAACAACAGTAACAGCAACTATGTGAACACGCCCACAAGCTGCCTTGCTGATGCAGCCCCAAGCTGAGGATCAGTTAGATTTGTGCTGCCTCAAGCTGCTTCTGCTATCCTCTTTGTTGCTTATATTTTTCTACAAGCCAAAAAGCTGTCTCTCCCTGGCTTCTGGCTGTACAACATTCTTGCCTGCCCCCCCCCCTTTTTCCTTTCTGTATTTTCTTTCTTTGCTCCCCACCCTGTTCTTATTCAGATAAGAAAGTAAACACTAAAGAATGAGTTTAAAAATAAATAAATAAAAACAGCTCAAATGCAGAGAAACAGGAAAGTGTATAACCTGTGTTTTGGGGACCATCAGGTGGAGAGGGAAGGGATGAGGAAGCTTAAGAGACTCTTTGGTGATGCCCATGCTTCCCTCAGATGCTGTGAGTCTACAGTCTCGTACAACAGTCTCGTCTGAGTAGCTTTCAGACCCTGGATGTCTAGGCTCTCTCTCAGTCAGTTATGTGTAATCCCTGTGGGAGTAAGACCAAGAGGCATTAGGTCAATTCTCAGTCTTCAGTCTGTGGAGGTTTGTTGTTTCTATTTTTTAGATGTTTTCTTTTTTTGTTTGTTGTTTGTTTGTTTGGTAAAAGATTGAATTCACAGATCAAAAATTAAGTATTAGAATCAGTTTTTAAAGTCACAGTAATTGAGGCTAGTTAAATTTAATGTACACAAATAAGTTTCCACAGTGCTTAATTTCTAAGGTACAGAAAGGCTAAGTTTAAATTCTTAATTCAGGGATTGCCACTGGGGGCTTCTGTCTAGAAGGAAGACATCCTAGCTCAAGCATGGTGTGCTGAGCCCTGGGAGGGCTGTGTGACTGAGGCTGTGTAGTGACGTAACCTTTGCATCTGTCTTTTCAGGAAGCACGAGCTTTGCTGACCTCCTCTTCAAGTTCAGACAGCTGAAGATGCCAGTCCGAGCTCTGCTAAGACTAGCTCCTTTGCTGCTTGGAAATCCACAGCCCATGGTTATGTGACCATGTCTGGTGGAAAGCCCACCCCAAAAATGACTGCGGCACAGAATCATGATGGCAGCAAAGCTAAGGCAGCCTTTCTGTTTTGTGACCAGTGGAACTCATACCACTCGCTGTATTCAGTATCTGTGTTGAAAACATTACAGATACGCTGTTGCTGTCCACGTGTCATACGATATATAAAAGTCAGTTAAAATTCACTTTTAGTAAATAAAGGTCTTTGGTTTGTTTTCAAGACTGTTGATGATTGCTTTGGACTTAAGAGAATAGAGTGACAGGCTGATTTTTGAAGGTCAGTGGCTCAGGTGAAAGGTCTGCATCCATTGCGAAAGTGGGCCTCCCGCCCCTACAGGAGAGGCTCAGTGCTGCCTGCTCCGTCCCCATTGCCTTCTCTACAGTGAGTCTGTGCTTCCTGTGGTGGATGACATCATGACTGCAAGCAGATTTCTGCTCAGGTGAAGCATTGCTCAGCATGGAGTGCTGGACTGTGCCCATACCCTGACCTCAGTGCCACCGTGTGGGCTGCAACTCTGTGGAGATAACTGAGATTAAAGGACTCACCATTAAGGTGAGTCCCGATTGGATAGAGTCAATGGCCTGTTCAGCAGAGGAAGAGGCTATATTTCTCTTTGTGACGTGGTGAACTTGCAGCACAGTTATGTACAAGCCAAGAAGATTTCCTTGTGGGGAACCAGTCAGACCGCCTTGGACTTCAGCACCGAGATGTGTAAAAAATACATTTCTGATGTTTAAGCCACTTTGTGGTATTTGGTTTTAGCGGTCTGTGCGGGCTAGTGCATGACACCTGCTCTAAATACCTAAAATAAGCAATTACCCTACAGAGGAGTGTTGAGAAAATGTTTTTAGGTGTGCAAGCCAGTCCATCTGAGCTGAAGCTCTGAAGGGTGCTCTCATATTCTGAGTTTCAGGACGGCTCATGATGCAAGAGGGCTTCTCTGAGGGCACCCCCAATGGCAGGAAGAGAGCTCCTTTCACCGCATTTCCACTGCGCTCACAGCTTTCCTGTGGACCAGTGGGACCATGAACAAGCAGGAACTGCGAAATGTCTATTCACTGATTTTCTATTTGCTTCTGAAAAAAGCAAATAGAAATGACCCCATTAGGATTTAACAGTGTCTGTCTGCCTGCCTGCATCAAGGTAATATGTGGCTGACTTTGAGGGCAAAATGTACTTTCCTTCCCTCTTTAACTAAGGATTGCAGTTAAATGGTTTCCATCAAGCTTGAACCCACTGTTCAGGCAGTTGTTATTTTCACTCAGTTGTTACTGATTGCCATAGGAAGACTTGAGAGGTATTTAATTAGTTTATGGACACATTAACTCATGTCAACAAGAGCGAATAGTAAGCTTTAAAGGGCACTGACTACCGTGGAAACAGCATTGATGGGCCTATTGGTCAGCTGTCACCAATAGGTGACAGTAGAGCTCACCAAGCAGAGTCTAGTGCGCTCGAGTCAGCATGTTGGGATCATCAGGTAATTCATCTTTACTGGTCTCCAGAACATCCTGTGGGAACCAGTCTCACCATCCACAGCAGCCAGCGGACGTGCCGGGAGCCACAGCAAGGGACGAGCCAGAGAAGCACCTGACAGTGAGGTGTTCCAGTGTCAAGGGGCACTTGTGACTTGAAGGCTGATTAGCCAGCACTTGTTACTTTGCTTCACCTCAGTGCACATGGAGTGCAGACAAAGGTGTGGCTGCTGCCAGCGCAAGTACTGCCTGCTGCAGACAGACACAGTTGAGCAGCATGCAGAGTCTTCCCCCAGAGGATACTGAGGTCTGTGCGCTCCTCCCTCCAGATCTAGTGAGAGCAAAGGCAGATGGAGGTCAGATGTCAGACTAGCTGCACTGCTCTATCCTAGCCTTCAACATGGTGGCCTCTCTACCCATCCCGCCAAACCCCAACCCTGCTCTGGTCTGCTGCTGCCTGCACTGATTCGAGTCCAGGAGGCTCAGGCAACTGCTCAATGTGAACTGAAAGGACTTTGCATTGGCAGAGCTTCTGAATGTGTTGAAAAGCAGGCATACATCTTTGTAATCATGTGGCCTTCCTGTCTGTTTTCTTGATATTTCTCTCATTGACTTAGTCTGTCACTATTGGTCACATTATACTGTTTTAATCTTTCGTCTTTTAGCCAAAACACTTTGGTAAACTTTAATACTGCAATCTTTTTCCTTTAGAATACTTTGGAGAGTACTTTTCAGACTTTTTTCCTTGAAACATTCATATTAGAATTTTAAAACAGGAACTTCATAATAAATTAAGATTTATAAGCACCTGCTGGATCTTAATTCCTGTTTTTTTTATACTCCAGTGCTTAGCTGAGCTATTAGCTCTTCTCTGCAGTTAATGGATGTCTCAAGTCTGCCTTGTGAGGCTACAGACTGTGTGCTTTAAGAACTCAAGATGTTGGATTGTGACGTCATGGTCACATCATGGATGGAGAGTGAGTACCTAAAACAAGGAGAAAAGTGAGATACTAGTGTTCTATTCCCTTCCGATTGAAACATCCCTCCAGGAAGAAGGGGGAGGAGAGGCTGCACAAACGTTACCTATCCTGAAAGCTGAAGCTTAAGAGTCACAAAGTACTTCCCCAGGACTGTGGAGATGGAACTGTGTGGGCGTGTTTCGCTGGGGGAGTGGGAACAGGACGGAAAGGGATAGGTGACTCTCACCAGCAGAGAAGCCTTGCTGCCCAGGAGGGGAGATTCTCTGACTAGTCAAGCAGCCTGCAGGTTGTGCAGAGTTGGTACCCGTGTTGAGGTGGGCTTTGTGATAGAGCTGCTTTTGAGTCATCCTGCTCCTGGGACAACACAAGGCCCCACTCTTCCAAGTGACCTCAAGAAAGTCATCGATTTACTGAGTTGGACTTTGGCAGTGTCATTATTTTGTCGTTAATCCTCTAACTGATGTTTGGGTGTGTGTGTGTCTCACACAAAGCTGGCTAGCACCTCTCATTTGTCTTTCATAGCTGGCTGTTTCTGTGCACACTTTACTCACCAAGCATGTTTGCAGTCTGGGTGAATGGTTCAATAGTGGAGTGTGAGTACAACCTAGACTCTGGGTTCTATCCCGTAGCACCACACATGGAAGTATTTTCAGTGTTACCTTTTCTACTATCAACTCTTAAACACGTAGTTTCATTAAAACAGCAGTGTTATGGAAAGATGAGCACAGATCTAAAGCTGAAGAAGCCTCCAGATCTGTTGTAAGTGGCCTGCTAAGCTGCAGCCTTCCTGACCATTCAACATGAGCTAGCTCAAACTCTTTCCACATCCTGTATCCGTTTGTTAGGTCCCTAGAGAAGACCAGTCTCAAGTGTCCCCTCACTCTATAGTCTCCAATTTGCTGTGCTAGTTCCTCTGAAACTCATCTGCAGACAACCAGAGGACCAACTCAATTCTTGAATTATGTTTAATTTTTTAAAAATGTGTGAGTACACAACAGAATCCCTTCTAGTAAGTGCTTGTTTGAATGTATGTCCATGCTTGCAAATGCCCTCAGAAGCCAGAAGAGACCATTAGATTCCCTTGGGACTAGATTTACAGACAGTTGTGAGCTTCCCTGTAAGTGCTGGGAATTGAACCCAGGTCCTCTACAAGAACAGGCAGTGTTCATAATGGCTGAGCCATGTCTCCAAACCTAAGAGGAAAACTTTTGAGAGCAGATCTTCACCTTCTACTTTGTTGAGGCGTGGTCTCAAGAGAGACAGAAACGAGTTTCTGCTGTGTGTGGCATACTCTAGATCTCTAGATCAAATGCACATCAGGCTTGTGGAGCAAGTGCTGCTGCTTCTCCCTCCTCCTCCTCCTCCTCCTCCTCCCTCTTCTTCTTCTCTCCTCCTCCTCCCTCTTTTTTTTTAAATCTGCTGGCTCCATTGAATCACCCTGGCTTCCCTCCTGGTTTCCAAGGCCTTAGATGCACTGAACTTGGTTTTTCTTCCTCTGGCCTCCAGATGGTGCTCTTGTCTTGGAGATGCCAACAGCTTGACTTTCCCTTCCCTCAGCATTGTTTTTAGTCAGTATGCTCTTTCAACAGTGAAGAGCTAGATTTTGCTTTGTGAGTCAATCAGAGTCCTTTTCAGTAAAAACAAATATATATTAACACAAAATAATGTAACCAAACTATTATTAACAAACAGAGCCAAAATATAACATAACTCAAATAATATAACCAGGATAATATAATGCTCCTCAGCTGTGTGGCATATGTATAGTATTTACTTTCTTACCTTAAATTTCTGTTTGATCTTTCTTTGCACTTTTCATACCTATTGGACGCTTTGCACTGATGGCTCCACTTCTCCAATCCCTCTTTTCTATCCCTTGTCTTCCAATCTTTTGTTTCCAGTGTTGGTACCCTCAAGCTTGCCTTCTTTACCTTGTCTTTCCCTCCTCTTGGGTCCTGATGGTTGCTTGTTAAGTTATTAGAGCATGCAGTTGAATACAAACTCACCCCTCCTGTGCCTACGTTGATTTCAGCTCCACATCTCTACACTGTAATGCTCAGTACCTAAGGGCTTCATCTCAGATTATCCCACAGACTCCCTATGGTGTAAGCCTTGATTGGATAATCTGGTAGATTGCAGAAAGGGCTCTGAAGACAGCTTCTCCAGGAATCTTAGCTCAGAAAGTGCATGCCCAGCCCAAGTTCTTGTCCCTCCTGATCTCAGTTGCCTCTCCCTGGTGTCCTTCTTGTCATCTTGTTGTCTTTCTCCTTGTTCTCTACATCTTCAGTGTGGAATTAGCTTTTTTCCTCATATTCTTCCTCAGTAGTCTAGGACTCCCAATTTGCCTGTAACCTTCTTCTTCCTATCCTTGGTCTCTGAAAATGCTTTCCTTCAGCAATTTTCCAATTCGTGAAACCTTCCCCTGTGATACCCAGAGGTCAGGAATCTTTGTAGGCTGGTACCCCTTTGAAGGCAGAGGACAGTGATTCTTTGACTCAGGGTTGCTTGCTCTTGATGGACTTTCCATCCTACATCCTGAGAAGGGCTCAAGGTGGGTTGCTGCCATCGTATAGATCCCTGGATCTCAGCGATAAGCAGTGGCATCTTGGCAGGGAAGGGATAGCAAGGGTGGGCAAGAACAAAGAGGGGAAATGCAAGGAAACTCTCAACCATCACACACAGGTTACGTGGAAGAAGAGAACTGGGGAGATTACTGCTCACTCGCCTGTCCATGAAGACAAAACCCTAGGGGCCCTGACTACTA